CAAAACTAAAACTACTTGCTTCCTGCAACAAATAAGAGAATATCAATTTTAGCTCTGTCCATGCAAAACTTAAAAAAATTATAATTCATATTATACAAATCCTTCCTGGAAGAACAGTCTATATATTAGTCAGATCAAAATCCGTTGTGTAGTTTAGAAAAACTAATTGCACATGCTACAGACCTGAATAGCAACTTTCTTTTATTCTATTAAGAGATAGAGATAATTTAAATATAATACCGGTGTCTTCCTTGTAGGTTTCTTTGGAGTTGTTTGGGGATTATTGTTGTCCAGTTCGACATGATTTTCTTTAACCTTTGGATTATAATCCTACAAAATAATGAAATTGTTAAGTTATGTTGTCACTGTTGTGTTATGTCAAAACTGATTTATTACCTTATCATTGTTCGCTTTATTTGCTTTTGGGATATCAATTGTTTCCAAAATGATTTTATTTGTAATATCCTAAAATATATAAATAACATCTATTAATTTAAGTATCATGTTGAGTGGTTCGCATTCAGGTGTTAAGGTGTATTATACCCACTGCCCATTATAAGTGGGAATGGCCTCACTTCTGGCTGGACAGAGTTTCGGTACTACAAGTGCAACATGGATGTTCTCATGATGTTCATGAATATCTCTGACTACCCTGTAGGGGAATAAAGTACTGTTGTGAGCATATGCTTATGCTTGAGAGGTTGAACCTTGAACATCACCATACATCATATTTATAATTAACATTCCTACCTCGACACCTTCACAATCAAAATCATTGAAATCGACTTCAAACTGTTGCGGTATCATCTCTGCCACGTCCATTGTGTCTGGAGAAAGTGATGGTGGCTTTGTTCCACCTCCAGTTTTTGATGTTTCACAGCGATAAGGTGACAACTCTTTTTTTGTATTCAATTTAGTGCACTTCCACTGATTCATCAATTGTTTTTTGTCTCTTGTCCTTATATTTGCTAGATTAAATCTGAAAAATTACATGTTTTGATTAAACAATGTGGTTAATTTTTTAATCAAAACATTACTCGATAATAATAATACATATAGACCACAAGCCCATGAACAAAAAATACCTGTGAAATGACCCAACGTGAATTACGCTTAGAAGGCTGTTACTATATCTGAAAATAGCTCTGAGCACTATGCCGTCATTTCTGAGCGGTACATGTGAGTACGTGAGTGAATGGACTTTCTCTGGTACAATTGGGGAATTTCGACTAATTATTAATGTACGGCTTTGTTATAAGTGTATAGATGATTAAAACTAAATGTCGAAAAACATAGTGCCGTACTAAAGTGATGGTGCCGGAAGTCGGTGCAAATTTTTAATTCGACGACAGTTGCAGAAGCAATATAGGTCATTTATTACTGTACGGCATTTGTGTGATTCCTTTTGGACACATATACAGATACTTTACCCGTAAACGCCGTACATATTTCCAGCGGAGCGGTCGAAAGCCAAGGGTCGGAACCCTACCCCTACACCCATATACCCTAAGGTCATTGTAAAATGTACGGCAACATGTTCAAAATATTATTTAACATGGACAATAATGTCTTATAATTATGCCGTCCAAAAATTATAGTTAATATTTGTGTAAATAAATATTTATCGAAATTTCAGGATTTACCGAGTTCTTACTGCTGTAAGATCAGAGAATAATGTACGGCAACTTGTTTTTTTACATAATGTTACTAAAAATTACCGTTGTACCTTATAGCCGTTCATTGCCATTTTATGTAAATAACTTATGTGAAACGGTATTATTTGCAGATGATACATCTCTTTTTTTAAAATCAGTAGGAACGCAATAAATTTTGACGAGGTGAATGATGCCCTTTCCCGAGTTATGTGTTGGTTTACTTATAATAACTTGTTACTAAATTCTAATAAAACAAAATGTATTAGATTTTCTTTGCCTAACGTAAAACAGGTCAGTACAAACATTAATATTAATGAGGAAATAATTCAATGTGTTGATTCAACTGTATTTTTAGGGATCACTCTAGATTCTCGTTTGCAATGGAAGCCCCATATTACAAACCTATCGTCAAGACTTAGTTCGGCTGCATTTGCGATAAGAAAGATTAGATGGTTGTCTGATGTCGAAACGGCGAGGCTTGTATACTTCAGTTACTTCCATAGTGTTATGACATATGGTATATTGTTGTGGGGCTCAGCGGCCGATATTCAAGATATTTTTGTTTTACAAAAAAGAGCAATACGCGCTATATACAAATTAAAACCGCGTGACTCGCTAAGAGAATTATTTAAAGAGATTGGTATTTTAACAGTTGCCTCCCAATATGTGTATGAAAATATTATGTACGTTTATAAAAACCTTAATAAATTTATAAAGCGCAGTGACTGTCACAATTTAAATACAAGAAGTAGGAATAGACTTGATTTTCCAGCTTTCAGACTGCATAAAACTGCTCACTCATTTATGGGGAAATGTATACACATATTTAACAAGATTCCGGACCGTGTAACCAAACTTCCGATTCATGAGTTTAAGCTTTGTATCAAGAAAACCCTAACAAAGGGAGGATATTACACTGTTCGGGAATTTATAGACGATGACAATGTGTGGGCACTAGTGCCGCTGTAAGATGAGGATAACCGAGTTGACATGCATAAGAGTACAAATTGTACCTAAATGATTAAATGACTTTATTATTATATTATTATTATTATTATTATTATAAATGGTAATAAATAAAAATATTATGATAAAAAATATATGAAATTTCCGAAATTTAGATGATTTTTCAAATATTCCTAGTGTAATATGAGGAGTAATATTTTCAAAGATTATTGTTATTTTATATGTAACAAATATAAATAAACAAAAAAAACCAGATGCCGTACATTTTACTCCAGATTATTCTTTACAGCTGATAAAAACTTCGACGACGTTTGAGGTGTCCCTTAAGGACATTAATCACTGTACGTATCTGAGTATACTACCAAAAGGCTGTAAAGTATATTTACAGCCTTATCATACCAGCAGAGAGAGGTAAAAGAAAAATATTTTTAACAAAAATAAAAATATAATACAGGGCGTCCCAAAGTTATAGGACATGAAGGAAAAGTACCTTTAATAACGTAGATAGGGTATTTTACTGAAAGAAGACTTTATGTTATTTTTAAAAGTTAGTAATTCTGCATTCAAAGATTTTGAAAAAATTACCTACCTCGTCTGGAAATCGAACCGGCTTAAATGTAAAAAAAAAAAACACCCCTACTTTTATGATGCCAATCGAAAAAATGGCCAAAACCTAATAACTTTTCTAAAGTAACAGACTTGTAGGGGATTTTTTTAGGCCGAATACGATAGATAATGTTTTTAATTTGATTAAAAAGATATATTCACGCAGTTCCTTTCTTTTAAAATACTATGTTACTTAAGAAGAGTTATTAGTTTTTGGCCATTCTTTCGATTGGCATCATAATAGTAGGGGTGTTTTTTTTACATTTAAGTCGGTTCGATTCCCAGACGAGTCAAGTAATTTTTAGAAAATCTTTGAATGCAGAATTACTAACTTTTAAAAATGACATAAAGTCTTCTTTTAGTAAAATACCCTATCTACGATATTTAAGGTTCTTTCCCTTCATATCCCATAACTTTGGGACGCCCTGTATTGGTAGGCGGTGGTATAATCTGCCATTTCACAGACTAGCGGACTATCGAAAGTGTACGGCATTTATCTTTTATTGAAGATTGTCTAAAGTATTAATAACCTGTGTTATTGCCGTACAGATAAAAGTCACCGGAAAATGACTCTTTTCGGAGGGAAGTAATTTACCCCATACACCTATGTGTTCCACAAAAAATGTACGGCATGCTGGAAAATGTTATCTATTTGTGAAGTACTCTCAAGATCATTTAATTTTATGTTGTTCTATATCATCATCACCTATATGCTAATCAGACATATGTTGCGACCCTTGACTTTCGACCGCTCCGCTGGAAATATGTACGGCGTTTACGGGTAAAGTATCTGTATATGTGTCCAAAAGGTATCACAAAAATGCCGTACAGTAATAAATGACCTATATTGCTTCTGCAAATGTCGTCGAATTAAAAATTTGCACCGACTTCCGGCACCATCACTTTAGTACGGCACTACGTTTTTCGACATTTATTTTTAATCATCTATACACTTATAACAAAGCCGTACATTAATAATTAGTCGAAATTCCCCAATTTTACCTGAGAAAGTCCATTCACTCACGTACTCACATGTACCGCTCAGAAATGACGGCATAGTGCTCAGAGCTATTTTCAGATATAGTAACAGCCTTCTAAGCGTAATTCACGTTGGGTCATTTCACAGGTATTTTTTGTTCATGGGCTTGTGGTCTAATACGGATAGTTAACCTCAATTGTATTGAAGCACTTAGGAAGGTTGATGATCACAGTTTTTTCACAAATATTTTCTAATATTAATTAGTATTGATTTAAATATTCAATTTAAATCACTTCTGATTATAATTCAAAAAGCATTACTAAATTTCTTTGAAAAAATCATTAAAACTCCTTTATTTGTTTAAAAGGTAAATGACAAATGTCATTATGGTCATTCAAAATTCTTGGCATAGCTGCGATTTGCGAACTTCACGCATATTCTATTTCTTTTTACTTGTAGATTGTCTTATTCCTATCTCGCTCGCGCACGCTATAATCACACTAACAATTTTGTGTCACATCGTAAAATTTCACTCTCATCAATTTTTCATAACGCGCCTAAAGAAATATAACTTCAAAAACAAAAAATAAACAAAATATGTAAAAGCTAATCCAAGGGTTAATTGAGTCATAATAATATAAGTACATAGTAGCTTAATACGAGGCAGAAGAAAAATGATCAAAAAGAAGATTTTTAAATAAATTTAAAAACTGAGCACGTCTGATATCAATATGTAAGGAATTCCATAGCAGAATACTTTGCACAGTAAAGGATACTAAGTTTGTACATTCCAGCAACGAATTTCCGCAAAGGCTGTGTTATTCTGACTGAAAAGGCTGACGTGGAAGAGCCCTGGTTCGGCTTCAACCAGGAATTTTTTTTGACCACTACCGACTCGAGACCTCTCGGCTGGCCTCCTGGTGGATTCCCAGCTCCACCTGGACCATACTATTGTGCGATTGGAGCTAATAAAATCGTCGCTAGAGATTTAATGGAAGCTTTTTACAGGTGTGCTTTTGATAGATGCAGTAGATTTTTATTATAGAAATAATTATTATCCTTTAAAATATACGGAAGAATGTCACCTTATGGTGACATTCATACTACATACTTTAATTATAGTGTTGTCCCTAGGTCCGAGGAATCTGTTAAAGAATCTATTTAAAATATAATTCTTTACACAAACTGTAACGATATAATATTGTAAGCTTTGTTACGAGTTTAGGCTGTAGATTTCTGCTTTGGTAGGATTTTTCTAGTTTAACCGTCGCAAATAGAAGTTAAAACGCGGGAGTAATACGCATTCGTTGCGATTTCGTTGCTGAAATCACTGGCGTCATTTCAAAAGAAGAGATTTAACTTGGTTCGAAATGACTCCACCACGATGTTAGTGGTTGATACCACGAGCACAAAAAGTTTCAGTTTTGTAACGATTCTGTGATTTTCCCGGTCATCCACCTAAACACGGCGATTAAATATTTTTAAAATAGAAGTAAAGAAACTACCGTCTACAATTATTGTACAGAGCTTGAACACATCGCCTTGATCCGGGCAGCACCCGACCCTTCAAGGGAAGGGCAAGGGCCCTTCTCGCAAGTGCAAACCTGGAATCGCCAAAGATCTGCAGAACTCCAAAATCATCATTGGTTGCAAAACGCGGACTGCAGTCAGTCCAAAATAGTGATGCCAGCAGTAAACCCACTATCTCCTATATAAACATCAGTTTGTCCTTGGCGCGACAGACATTCCCTTGTGCAGAGGCTGTTTCAGCGCAGAAGAATCAGTTTACGTAGTCCTGCGTCTCGAATGCGTGACTGTGGCTTATCCACGATCAGAAATCCTAGGAGCAGTAAGGTCATTCCGTTAAGCCTGCGAAGTGCACCCAGGAAACTTGCCTTAGTTAGGCAGGACTTATCGCATAACGGACAAAATGTGCGTCAAAGTGCGGAAACTGTGTCCCCGCTACACTTACACACCTGTCTCTGGCAACTAGCTTCTCCTACGCATTTTATATAGTTTGTCTTTCTAGTCTAGTTGTGCAATCGGGTTCGCCATATCGACTCAATGCCATTTCATTAACACAGCAATCAGGAGAACAACCAGCTGATCCTCTACTCTTCTATAAATATGAGCAAATAGAAATTACCTTATCACAAAGAGCCGCGTAGACCGTTACGCTAAAGCATTCAAATAGCTATGTTAATATTCTCCGTGGAAGTAATTTCATTCGGAGATAATAAAAGTGGTTTTTCTTTTATTGCCTATTTATCAAACAAGACAGCAACCACTTCTGTTGGAAATTGCAAAAACGAACATTAAGTTTCTAATTTAAAGCAATATTTCATTTCACGTAAACTTTTATTGTTCAGAGTTTTCGTAACCTGGCCACAAGGAAATGTTTCTGTTTGACCTCGGTTTGCGGTTGTTTTCTTAATTCTTTTATGTACAATCGAAACTTAATAAAAAAATGAAAAGGACGGTTATAAGCTACACAAAAAAAGGTTCAATCCGCCAAGGTACAAATTCTGACAGAACATGGTGCGTTTGCTTGCTGCTACTACGAAGTCCAACAAAGCGTCAGCTACCAGGTGTCACTGTGGCAACACATTCGTTGGTAAAGGGATAGGAATTAATAGAAACAGGATTACTTTAAAGCAGGTAGCAAACGATAAGTAGCTACATATGTGGCAGTAAATAGCTTTAAAATATTCCCAAAATATGTATCTCTTGTAAACGTAAAAAAAATGCTTGTTATGTTTCTCGCTTAACCGTTAATAGATTACAAAATAGTAGTCCATTAGCGGAATGATACGACCACAGCTTGCAACGTGATGCATGTCAAAAATATTATCAAAATAAAAATTATTCTTTTCGTAATTAAGGTATATCCAAACTTTCACGGTTTGAATAACAATTTTACTTATAGTTTTTGTAGTTGTTGTCGTAGTGTATTTTCGTAGGCATTTAATACCAATTTGAATGCAACAAACAATTATGTACATTAATTTCTGCGAGTTCGTAACGTACACGTAATATTTACATAGATAAGATGCTAGATTTATTTATTGCTTTTATAAACCTAACATTGGTCGATAATAGATCTTAAGAGCCCCTGAATAAATGTAAGTATATGAATAATAATAGAGTTTTTTGTTTGACCAGATGTTGCCTTTACGCTGGAATACATCTGAACGGTATAAATCCTGGCACTACGCCATCGCAGTGGAACTTCCAGGTGATTAGAACAATGATTTATTATGTCGATTCGATCTTATGAACTTCGTGTATCTTTGTGTGCACTGTGCAATTTAAAATTTTGATACTGTTTGTAGAGATTTAGTATGAATGGTATTTGCAACCTATTAATGCAATAAGCAGATTGACCTGAAAGTATATAGACGTTCAGTTTCGCGGTCATCTGGAAGGGAAGGCTAAATTCGCCTCCAAAAAGCTTGGTGTGCTCAGCAAGGCGAGACGGTACTTCACTCCGGGCCACCGCTTGCAACTGTATTAAGCGCAAATTTGGTCCCACATGGAATAGTGTTCTCACCTCTGGGCGGGAGGTCCCCAGTACCAGCTCATTCCACTTGACCGTATTCAAGGAAGAGTGATTAGAATCGTCGACGACCACTTTTCGTGCGGCTTGATCCCCTTGGCGTTGCGTAGAGATGTGTGGTCTCTCTGCATCTTCTACCGCATTTACCATGGAGAGTGTTCAGAGGGGTTGTTCGGTCTAATACCTGCAGCTGAGTTTCATTATCGGACGTCGTATTTCCGAACCAATTCTTGAAATGCTGGCAACGCACTTGCGAGTCTTCTGGCACTGTGAGTGTCCATGGGCGGCGGTATCATTTAACATCAGGAACAACCTGCCCGTTTGCCTCCTATTACATAAAAAAAGACGGTTAGAATTGACTTAGCACTGTGCCTGTAAACTGGTGATCCCTCCCATCAAGGCTAGCTTAGTTCTACCGGGACCAGCCTTATCGCAGGGTCTAGTACCGACGGCACGGGGCATATGACTGAAACTTCATCAAGCAATAATCTCGCTGTAAATATTTTGAAAATCATACCTCTGTCCCCGTGCTATTGTTTTGTTTTATAAAAATGGAGCTTTGCTATATCCGAAAACTCTGATTATCAGCCTTCTCTATTTAACAGTACTCAGAGTCGTTTATAAAATTACTAACAGATAGATATATATTACATAAAAACGGTGGAGAGCTTAGCTACTATAAAAATACCTTTTTGTTACATCCTAGATCTACGACGAACTTATTTTTTACTCAATTTATTACTTACTAACAAGACGTTTCCTATAAAAAAAACAGATGTTAGTTTAAGACATGAAAGTGGTAAGGCCACTGGATTTTTATTACTTACGAGGTATACGTAGTAATAAAAATCCAATGATGTTTTTCTTCTCAGTTATAATAAATAATAAATAAATAAAATAGCCTTTATTGCTGTTTCTATCTTACAATAATACTCATTAATTAATACATGCCTAACATAATTACTTTCTAAATACTTTTCTACTAATTTAAATTACTTTCGAAGTACTTACTAAATTAAATTGGTTTAATCATTGTATGTTCGGCAACTGGATGTTTGTCTGGAACAGCTTGTCTGTCGACAAAGGCCTCCTCTAAAGATTTCCACGTATTCCTGTCTTTTGCTAAACGAGTCCATACCGGAGCAGCTATTTTGTTGAAGTCGTCTTCCCATCTTTTCGTTTGCCTACCTCTTTTTCTTCTGGTATCTCTTGGATACCACTCAGTTACTATCCTTGTCCATTTTTCTGTACTTTCTCTCAACATATGTCCGGTCCAACGCCATTTAAGCTGTCTGTAGATTGTGTGTACATTTTTGAATTTTGTTTTCTTTTTAATTTCTTGTAATTTTACTCTATCTCTTCTTTTTATACCTAAAATACTCCTTTCCATTGCGTTTTGGCAGACTTTTAATTTATTTTCTTGCCTTTCTGTTAACGCCCATGTCTGGCACCCATATAATGGGCATTTCTCAGTTATAAGTAGCTATTAAATACTTTCGCCTCATTTAAATCGCTTCAAAAATTGTGTAGGTGCTACTAAGGTCTTTGTACGTTTACAATACGACTGTAACGATAAAAGCTATAAGCGTATCATCGTTAAATAAACTGCACTGTATTATTAGTCGTTATCGATATTGGATAGCCGTTCAGGTATTTTTTCAGTGTATGTGCAAAAATAAGCTTTCTTTTATTCAACTTTCAAAGAGTGCAAGCTTTTGCATTCAGTTTGAAATTGCTCGGTTTTGTGCTGTTTTATAAACATTGAAGTATTTAACCTTTACATATCATTTTACTTGAGAATAGCATTTTTGATGTTTTAAATTATTATATTATAGATATTCCAGTAGCGCTATGGACTGAGCTTGATTAGTTTCTTTGTGTCTCTTACTTTTAGGAGCAAGTTTTGATCGCGCACATCTAAAACCTATTGATGCACAGCCGAGATTCGAACCTACTTAACTGTGTAATATATATTTATATTTTTTTTTTTTTTTTTTATAGAACGGGGGCAAACGGGCAGGAGGCTCACCTGATGTTAAGTGATACCGCCGCCCATGGACACTCTCAATGCCAGAGGGCTCGCGAGTGCGTTGCCGGCCTTTTAAAAATTGGTACGCTCTTTTCTTGAAGGACCCTAAGTCGAATATATATATATATATATTAATATATACATTTGGATTTTGTTACTGACCCCAATGTTACTGAATATGTTTAGAATCCTGATTTGTTGTAGAACAAATCAGAATTCTAAATAAAGATCTACGTTTATTTTTACAAAGTGTTAAGACGTCTGCTATTCTAAAATATTTTTTTGAAAATCTTATCAAAGACGTTAGTAGAATTTTCATACAAGTGTTTGACGATGTTCGATATTTCGAGTATACAATTTGTTAATCATATATATTTATGTATATAAATATCTTTCTCGATTCAGAGTTTTTAAATGGCTTTTATTTAAAGCCGTAGAATTTTTAAGTGAAAATTACAAAATGCCTTTTTAATTATAAATACAACAGTAGAACCTTGCAGTTATATGTATATATTATTAACTATAAAATAAATGTAGTTTTTTTAAATACTATACATCTATATTATTAATTTTTTTTATCTGTGTAACCTAGTTTTTACGCACTTATTGTACAATAAAGAATTTATCTATATATCTTCTATGCCAGGTGGGCCCGAGTCCTGGAATACGGGCAGCTGACGACCTCTGGATGGCCAGATACATCCTCGCCAGACTAGCTGAAGAATACGGTACCGTTGCCACATTTGAACCACAACCAATAGAAGACTGGCCTGGAAACGGCACTTTTGTCTATTTCTCTTCAAAGGATATGAGAGAAGAGGATGGAATATTGTAAGACCTTTTATTTACTAATGATTTATTATGTGGTTCATGGATAAAACATCCGTAAAACTCTTAAACAATAAAACAACAAGAGGAATTTTGTTTCACAATTAATTTAAAAACAAAATAGAACTGATTCCAAAATGCATTTAAAAGTATTGCAATCAATTGGTTAGTCTTGTATTACCAAGAAAATTCAATGTATTAATCGATAATCTCTATTAAATTCTAATATATATATATATTTATAAAATTCTCGTGTCACTATGTTTGTTCCCATACTCCTTCGAAGCGGCTCGACCGATTCTTATGAAATTTTATATGCATATTCAGTAAGTCTGAGAATCGGCTACTATCTATATTTCAAACCCCTAAGTGATAAGGGGTGTCCCAAAAATTTGTTTTATTTCTTAGAACTTTTTTTTTGTTTTTATTTTTTTATGATATAGCATACAAAAATACAACTCCTAATTTTCAACCCTCTACGATCAACTCCTATTTTTTATTATTGTTAGTTATTTTTATTAAACTCAAAAAATAGTTCCTAGAAATAATATACATGGCAAAACAAACGTGTGCGGAGTCAGCTAGTTAATTTTTAAATAGGGTATGGATATCATATTTATGTTTGTAATGTCACAAAAGTCCGTAAAAGTCAAGTATGTTCTCATTACTTTCGCAAGACGATCCGAATGGTAATCAATTATTATGTAAATATGTTGACGATTACATTATATACTTATTGATTTTTGTCTCCTGCAATTCCAAACCTTTAAACCTCGAACATTTGTAGACAGTTGCTTGAATATACACAAAAATATTACATGTCGAAACGATAACCTGTTAAGTCTAATTACATAATTTAACGCGCATTTGACAATATTACTTGTCACATTATTCGCATATCTTGATATCGTTGGTATTGTTTATCGTATGAAATGTTTAGTCTCCTAAAAAGCGGGTAGCGTCATGTAATTTAAAATTTTCTACTGTGTGATTCTTTTGTTGTAGTCTGTGATTACTGTAATTATATTTCATCTGAAAACGTTTTAAGTAGCGAAATAGAGACAAGGGTTCAATATAATATATTCATTAATTTAATTTAGGTCCTGAGACTTACTTTTTATCAAATTAAATCTGTTATAATTAAAGGAGGTGTTCTAATTATGAAAACGTTTAAGGTTGTCTGAAGTGGAAAGTTATCTGAGCGTCTTTTAGAGTATTTAAATATATTTTTAAATTAATTAAAAAAGGCGTAGCATCGCAAACTCTGACACTGATTCTTTTGTTGTAGTCTGTGATTACTGTAATTATATTTCATCTGAAAACGTTTTAAGTAGCGAAATAGAGACAAGGGTTCAATATAATATATTCATTAATTTAATTTAGGTCCTGAGACTTACTTTTTATCAAATTAAATCTGTTATAATTAAAGGAGGTGTTCTAATTATGAAAACGTTTAAGGTTGTCTGAAGTGGAAAGTTATCTGAGCGTCTTTTAGAGTATTTAAATATATTTTTAAATTAATTAAAAAAGGCGTAGCATCGCAAACTCTGACACACATTTAATCGCTACGGTTTTTGCTTTATAAAATTCTTATCCAGGTGCACCACAGCCACAGCTTTAACAAAAATAACAGCTATAAAGTAATACCAGATCTTTGCGATCCTATGCAATAATAAATAATATTTCACGTGAATATTTCGTAAGCTTACGTAAATATTAAATGTTTAATGTTTAAAGAACTTTATTTCTCATTACAAAAATTATTTTTTATTTACATGAGAAAATTTAATATTATATACGAACGAGATACACGTCGCCATCAGCTAGCCCAATTTTAGTCTAATGGGCTCATTCTGATGTGCATCTTTAATGCCCTTTTGAACTGATTAATCACGCTAATGTTACGAAACTTAGACGGCAACCGATTAAACAATTGCACACCCTCATACCTAATAGATCTCTTTAGGTTTAAAGACTTTATTTCTCAAAAAAAAGACAAAATGTCACTTACATGAGAATAATACTCTAGATAACATAACATTGTAGTCGTTCTTAAAATAATCACAATAAAATATAGCCGTACATGCAATAAATTTAAAAATAAAAGTAAACAAAGAAATATGAATTAAAAGTAATTATAAGAAATGAATTTAAAAGTAATTTTGTTTAACATATTCACTTAGCTTCGATTTGAATGAATTTATGAAAGTAATATTTTTTTTATCTGTGGGTAGTTTATTATACAGCTGTGCGCCTTCGTAGGTAAACATTTTTTTGCCGTAGTTCGTACGTACTTTAGGTAGTGCAAGATAACTCGTTCGACGCATGCTTCGTACACGTGGCGGTTTAGAGAAAGCTAAACTAGTGTGGAGAGAACTTGTTATAATTTTTTTTACAAGAATACATGTGTGATAAATATAAAGTTGTTTTAGATTCATTATGTTTGTGTCTCGATATATATTTATGGTAGGTGCAAGATAATTATACTGGAACAGTATTTTTATAATTTTATTTTGTAATACTTGAATATGTATTAATTTAGTTTTAGCGGCGCTGCCCCATACTTCAATTAAATAAAGTAGATGTGGCTTGACCAACGAGTTGTAGATGGTGTAACGTACCTGACGTGGGATACACCGAGCAATGTGTCGAAGTGATCCCATAAGTGAACAGAGCTTACATCTGATGTGCTCAATTTGTGTATTCCACGTCAAACCGCTATCCATTCTAAGACCGAGATATTTTTCTGTACTTTTTTCTTCTATGACCGTGTTATTTATTTTTAATGGATCATGAGGTAAAACTTTTTTATTTTTAGATTTAAATATAATGTAGCATGATTTCGACGCGTTGACAGTGAGTAAATTATATTGAAACCAAGTGAAGAGTAGATTAAGGTCTTCTTGGGCTCTGCTGAAGATATCTTTGATTGAACTGCCAAAGTAAAATAAACACGTATCATCTGCATATAAAGTAAGGTGGCCGTTTAATCCAGTGTCATGCAAGTTATTTATATAAATAAGAAAGAGTAATGGACCCAAAATAGAACCCTGTGGAACGCCGTATTCGATAGGCAACGGTTTACTCTGAGTATTATCTATTTTAACTACCTGAAATCGATTTTTTAAATATGATTGAAAAATTTTGAGAGCTGTGCCTTTGATTCCAATGCATTCAAGCTTTTGTAGTAATAGTTTATGGCTTACAGTATCAAATGCTTTTTTTAAATCAATAAATACACCTAACGTAATGTTTTTATTATCTATGTTGGTCCTAATTTTAGTAATTAAGTCAATAGTTGCAGTTAAAGTATTACTTTTTGGTCTAAAACCATACTGTCGTTCAAATAAAAAATTTATAGACGTTAGATACTTTGTAAGACGGTTATATAGTATCTTTTCAAGTATTTTAATTATTATGGGTAGCACCGAGATTGGTCTATAGTTTCCAGTATTAGTTTTAGATCCAGATTTAAAAATGGGAGTAACTTTAGCTATTTTTAGAGAGTCTGGGAATTCTCCAATTTCTAATAATTTGATAAAACATTTAGATAGGTTTTTAGCAATATGATCTTTTATACATTTTATAGATTTTGTGCTAATACCGTCCAGGCCTGCACTACAATGTGTATCCAAATTATTTATTACTTTAAAAATTTCGTCACTACTACATGGTTCTAGTATCATCAAGTTTGTAGACTGTTTAGTTGAAGGTAAAGCTTTTGAAAAATTATCATGATAGGTTTTTGGTATTTCGTCAGCCAGAATTTTACCTATTCCAGTGAAGTATCGGTTAAATTCCTCACAAATATTGTTTTTATTAGTAATTTCGATAGAATTTATTATAATTTTCCAAGGCCCACAGCTAGTATTTGTTTTATTTTTTGCTAGGTCATTTACAAGGTTCCACATTTTTTTCGGATTATTTTTAAATTTTATGAATTTTTGAAAGTAATAGGCATCTTTGGTATCCCTAATGCGTTTACAAACATAGTTTTTATAGTCTTCGAATTCTTGCTTTGTAGTTTCACAGTCACGCATGTTTTTTAATTTTATCCATAGTTTATTTCTATGGTTTATTTCGCTGATTAAATCATTATTAATCCAATCCTTTTGAGGTTCATTAAGTATTTTCTTTTTGATTATTTTACAGTTGTTTACGTGATCTATAATAGAATTTTCCAGTATCTTGTAGTCATCATTATCTTCGTCAAGTCCAAGAGTTGTTGTTAATTTTCCCAATTTTTCGTAATCGATCGCTTGGTACTCGATAATTTCTTTCTTCAGAATCTTGACAGTTTTTAACTCTACATATTATATATGTTTATGGTCTGACATAGAAGATTCTATTAAAGCCATGTGAAAGTGATATTTTATTAAGTTCGTTGTAGCGTGATCTAATATAGATTTTCGTGTTGTTGAATCCCTTGTGGAATACTTTTTAGATATTTTATTGAGTATTGTATATCCAATTTCGTTCATAAGTTCAATGTATTGCTTAGATTTAGTGTTCTTAGTTAATAAATCTGTATTGAAATCTCCAAAAACTATAGCTCTGCGTCTTCTCCGAAGCTGTTGAGTGTATGCTTCAAGGAATTGATTGTAGTTAGTATTACCAGGGTAATAGATGACACCTACTTCTATTTTATATCTTTTTAATTGTACCCAAAGATAATTATTTCCATCCTGGTAGATTGATGCTGACAAGTTGTGCTCAAGACTGTTATGAACATATATAGAAACTCCACCACCAATTGTATCTGTACGAAAATTGTAATAGTGTGTGTAATTTGGTAGTTTTAGTTCGCAAGCCTGTTTCTCATTTTTGATCCAGGTTTCAGTTAGTAATATTATGTGTACGTATATAGTTGTCGAGAACGATTTAAGCACGCATTGTAGTTCATCAAATTTTCCTTGTTTGCAAATACTTCGAGCATTTAGATAAAAGAATGACAGTATGAAATTGGTTTTTTGTATATCGTTGTAGCTGTCGAGCACTTGATATGTGTCTACATTCGGTATTGCCTCTTTAATTATCAGTTTTTTGATGAAGTTTTTATTATTACTGGTGTTCCGTTTTTATATTTTATAGTTATGTCTGTTTCGCCATTACTTTGACGTCGGAGGAATTCTTCTTTTATGTTTTGTAGGAATTTTTCTGTGCTGGAGTTTGGTCTGAGAAAATTTGTATTGTTGAAGGCAGCTTACTTTTGTTTTGAAGAAGAAATTTAACTGTCTGAAGAGTTATAGAATACCTTAACTCGACGAATTTTCGTTGGATTATATTTGCCTAACCTAATAATTTTTATCGGTTTCGGAACATCTTCTGTAAGTGCTCGGAATATATTAAATATATCGGTTTCGTCTTTAAGCATATTTTCTCTTAAATTATTGGTATTTTGTTCTGGTAGCCCAACCATAATGATGTTTTTATTTTTTTTATTTCGTTCGTTTACTTCTTGAATCAATTCTTCGCTAAACATTGGTTGGATAAGCTTTGAAGATGTCTGGGGTTCAGTAAGACTAATTTTTTTCACACTGGTTTCTAAAGTATTGATTTTATTTTCTCCTAAAATAAGTTTCTTCTCTAATTGACTCATTTGTTTTTTAATTTCAGTATGTTCTTTGTGAATACTAGATGAAGATCCTTTTATTTCATTTATTTGAGATTTTATTTCCGAAATATTTTCATGAATTTTTGCTGTGCTGGAGTTTGGTCTGAGAAAATTTTTATTGTTGAATTTTATTCTTGTTTGCTCATTTGATGATCTAATTACCGTAATCTGATTTTTTACCTCAGAAATACTGTTCTGCATTTTGTTCATGATTTGCTCATTTGATTCATTATTTTTCTCTAAGAGTGATATTATGTGGGACAATTCGGAACGTACAGACTTAATTTCGTTTAAACACTTGCATTCATGATCAAGTGGTTGTTTTCGTTTGCGATTTGTTATATAGTCCGTTTCCATATTACGCAACTTTGACAAGTCCGGTTGTGAACCACCACTTGCATGTGTTGGTGAACGCATAACACTCATTATAAAATATGTGCGTGTTGACTCGTTACTAAACTATACTTGCCTATTGGTGTAAGCAGGCTAAAAAATAGTTTCTGTTTCCTTCCCTCGAGGTGGTGAGGGGGGCCGCTGTGCACTACACTCGCGATTTTTTGTCCTTGGTGTAATAAGCAAAACAGCACAAACACAAAATGCTAATTGCAAACCATTTGAGCCGTAGTAACCAGCTAATAAGTCCGAGTTCCAAACGACAATAAATAAATTAACTTAGCAATGACTCCGTGTACACGTCCACTCAGCAAAAGATTCGAACGACTCTTTAAATAATTTGTGCGCGGCTTTGGCAATACATATAAGCAAACTCGCTCGACGAGTATTGCGTGTAGTGGTGTATTTGATTTTATTAAATGATAAGTTACTATGTAGAGAGTTATTTAAATTTTTTTAATAAGGATACAAGTGCTATAAACATATAGTTGTTTAATCGTCATAATTTGGGTTTCTTGGTAGATTTTATTAGTAGGTGTTAAATTTTTTTATCTAAATAGTGCTTTTATTAATTTATTTTGTAGCGTTTGTATTTTAGAAATTTGTTTTTGCATGCTGTACCCCATATTTCAATTAGGTATATGAAATGTGGCTTGACTAAACAATTATAAATCAAATGACGTACAGATTGCGGAATGCATTTTGATATTGACCAAAATCTGCCTATCAGTGATTTTAGTTCGGTAATTATGTCTGATATATGAAAGTTCCACTTTAAATTTGTATCCATTCTAAGACCTAAGAGATATTTCTCCCATTTTTTGTTATTGATTTCAATGTCTTGAACTTTAAGCGGTTGAAAGATAGGAATGAGTTTATTTGTTGCCCTGAATATTACATAAGATGTTTTTGAAATATTAATTGTTAGAAGATTTTGTTGAAACCAAGAAGATAGAGCATTTAGGTCTGATTCAGCTTGAGCAACCATAGTCTGGATATTTGAACCAAAGTAAAATAAGCAGGTGTCATCAGCGTAAAGAGAGATTCGGCCGTGTAAACCGAGTTCGTGAATGTTGTTAATATATATTAAAAATACAGTGGACCTAATATAGATCCTTGTGGGACGCCACATGTTACTGGTATTTCTGAACTTTGAGCATTACCTATTTTTACTATCTGGGTTCTGTTTGATAGATAAGATTTGAATAATTTTAGTGCACAATCTTTTATTCCTATGCATTCTAATTTTTTAAGCAATAAGTTGTGGCTTACGGTGTCAAACGCTTTTTTCAAATCAATAAAGACACCCAGCGCCATTTTCTTAGAGTCAATATTTTGTTTTATATCACTAATTAGATCGGCTGTGGCTGATAAAGTGCTGCTTTTTGATCTAAAACCATATTGGCGTTTAAAAATAAAATGGTTAGTTTCTAAGTAAGTGTCAATTCGTGAGTAAATATTTTTTTCTAATATTTTTGATATTGTAGGTAGAATAGAGATTGGTCTGTAATTGCCGGGGTCGGTTTTGGGGCCATATTTATAGATTGGAGTCACTTTGGCTTTCTTAAGAGAATCCGGAAATTCAGCTTTATGCAGCAACTTATCAGAGATATTCCGAAATATAATTGACTACACATTAAATAGTACGTAATGGAAAGTTATTCACAAAGCAACCAAATTATTTCAGCTGTGGTTAAAGTAATTACACGTTAACTTAATTGCTGACACAAGTTTAGATTTAAGTGAAAATAAGATAATCTCGTATGAATACGTTATGAACAACATAAAACTTAATAAGACAAAATAAACTAAATAAGTAATATTTTGTTTAATCTAATATTTAACTTCGAAACTCGAGTTAGATATTTGATGCTATTTATTTAATAATAATCTTTGTTGATGTTCCTTTCCGAATGTAAGGCGTAAGCTTAATTTATGTAGTATAAATTACTAATAAAACGGACAAAGAGTTTTTGCGTCAAATAGAATTACAAAATAAAATATCAAGCGGTCTATATCCTATTTAATCTGTGGGCATCTGCTGATTTGGTAAACTAGTATTTAAGACTGCGATTCGTAGCTGGTCAGAGATTAGATTTTTCTTTGTACCACTTTTCTTGTGTCACCTAACATGGAACCGTGAGGAATCCGGTATATCTATACTATTTGATTAAAAAAGCACTAAATATACTTGGATACAAAGAAAACAATGAGTAATTTTCTGGATTTAAAAGCTCATACTCTTTCTAAAGACTGTCTCTGCAGAACTCGATTTTTTAATGCTCTGTTGGCAAATGCTCTGTTTAACTTAACGCATAATTTACTAATGCAACAGTATCGAGCGCCACTTGATTACGACAGATACGTTCCTATTTTATTGGTATTACTTTTGTACCAACCGTCATGTGCGGTCACTATGGAGTTATGGAAGATGGACTTGAGGAAAATCACGACGTAGTTCCCTAGTTAAATTCCTCATCAATATAATCAAAGGAAGCTTTAGTGTCAGAGCCGTTTCATTGTTCTCTATTGAGAAAGCCAGTCGTACGAATAATAAATGAAAAAAGGGTCGACTGAAAGCTCGAAGTCATGTAGATTAAAGCGTATATCCCTTGATCTCAGCAAATAGAAATCTTAGTGTCATCTAGTTAGCACATTGCCGTGGGTTATACTAGAAATAAATCTAGTAATATATGTATGTATATATGTATGTATATATGTATGATGTATAATTTAACAGTACTAAAATTAAGAGTTATATAAATTTATTGATATTTTTACCCTCATCGTTAAATGATTAACAGATTGTGTCGGAATCACCATAAAACTGTGTGTATGTGAACTGTGATGTGGAGATTTTCACCTCAGTTAATTATTTACTGTTTTTATTACTTTCTTTTGCCTCGTTATATTCCTACATAATTGCTATTTATGTATTTACATTGTGGATGCGACTTCTTTGATATAAGGAGTTGTGTGCTGTGATATTTCGGGCTAATCGATTGTGAGGAAATTGCATGGATCTGGTTAGCGCTGCGTCTTCTAAAGTTCTCGCGTCATTTTCACGTGTATTTCCTTCATATAACATTTTTTCATAACTATCTAATTGTCTTCCTTTTAACAAACGGAATGAAGTTTGAGAGCAAAAATACAATGAATCCAAATAAAAGAAAATATTTTGAGGTGAATCGTTCCTTATCTCTAAAGAGTATTAAGAATACACGACCTATTTCAGACACCGTTTCAGAAGTACAGTCACAACACTGTGACACAAGAATTTTAGTTCATAAAACCATTTTATACTTGTTTTGCTATTACCCTATACATGCAGAATTGACAAAACATTATTTAAATTTAATGCAATAGTAGTAGACATTTTAGATTTAAAACTTTATAATTGTCAACTCGCTACTTAAAGTTAAAATATAGAGATAACCAAAACAAACACATATATCTAGATATTAAAATAATATCTACAAACATCTCTATACAAATTGCACACCCAATATCGAATATTAACTAATTGGTTGATAACGTTGTAATAAAGTATGTTATAAGGAAAATGGCTTCCTACAGGGTTATCGAAAGGGCGATTGACAAGTTGGCTCGGCGTCACGGAGCTCATATAAACGAATATGATGCCAACAATGGCGCTGACAACGCGCGACGGCTTACTGGGAAGAATGGAATGCCGAACATGAGGGATTTTACAGCTGGTATTTTTTTCTATTACACAATTCATAGATTACCTAAGTTTTGTTACTTAGATCTTGGATCGACATTATGGTTGCAAATAATGCAAGTCAAAGTGAGTCAATTCTGACAAAGTAGCGAACTTGACACGGATTATTCATAAAGCTCTCGCTGAAGCATGTAGCTGCATACAAACATATTTCTAAACTGGTTCATGAAAGGAAAAAGTAAATTTTATGTAAAACTTATACAAGAACAGACTTAATGTTAATTATAGTAGATCTAAATCATAATATTTAAAATCACTCATTATTATGACTGATTATATACTACGCAGTAGTGTTACCTACAGAACGAGCCATTTCCCAAAAATGTATATAAAGTCTTCATGTCAGCGTATTGAATAATACACGTGATATTTGATAAGAGTTTTATGTAAATATATTTTTAAAGAACTTATAGCTATTCATAGACATACACATAACATTTATTACTAACAAAAACACACACACAAAATAACAATAATCAAAGAAAAAATAAATAAAATAAAAATTTAATGAAGCATATCAAAATAAAAATTGATTTTCCTTTTCCCATTCGGTTCGTTTCAAGTGTGTAATGCGTGTACTGTGGTTGTAATTGGCCTTAGCTCAGCATTATGCTGAGGAGCAGAATATTCCACAGCGCTGGTCATTCTGCCAGAGACCACAGCAGATAGTTTGCGCGTCAGTCGCAAGAAAAGAAAGAGAAGGAGATCTATTCAGAGTATATTATGAGTTTACGATTAGTTAAAACCATTGAGTTGAGATTCAAATAATTTGAGCATAAATCAATTAGAAGCCGAGAAATGTCTTTTTGTTCCCTTTTAGTTGTTAACTGATTAAGAATAAAATTAAAAAAATATATATTTAACGCTGGAAATTTATTTGTTTAGTTCTAAGAATAACCCGCTAAGTGAAGGGCTCTTTATTAGGGATAACCAAAAGTTGTAAAAGGAAAAACGAATCATTAAATAGCAAAAATTTCTTTGTCTGTTTCCTTTGATCCCTCGAGTTAGGAAGCGATATTTATAATATATTTTTCTGGTCTAATTTTACTTTTCTTTTGGTTATCTTAATTCGTAACTTCCCTCAATTAATCATTCTTTAGAGATGATCTCTAATATGCGATCTTTAAAGCAGGGTCCACACTATGCCGCGGTAGGCCGGGCGGGTTGACCCGGGTGGGCTAAGCCGGGCGGGTACGTTCGGTCCGGCACGACATCCACACTGAAAACGAAGCCAACCGGGCTATTTCTACCTACATTAAATCAAACTAAACTCAAACTCAAAATATCTTTATTCAAGTAGGTAACCAAGTACACTTTTGAATCGTCAAGTTAAATTAATCGTAAATTTACATTTACTACCAGTTCGCAAGTCAAGGGCGTAGAGCGGGTAAGAAGAACTGGCAAGAAACTTTCCGCCACTCTTTTTAATCGCCAAGTATTGTCATACAAATTGTTTAAACTGGAGCAATTCAATCCCAAGGATTAGGATCATTTAAGTAGACCTCAAATTTATAAAAAGCTTTGTTGATTAATTTTCGTTTAACGAGGGCTTTGAATTTATTTAGTGATAATTCTCTAATTTCGCTTGGGAGCTTGTTGTAAAAACGAATACAATTTCCATATAAGGAGTGGTTTATCTTTTGGAGCCTGGTTGGTCGTACACTCAAATTAGTTCTATTTCGCGTATTATACTGGTGAAAGTCACCATTTGTTTTAAAATCGTTTATATTTTTTTGGACATACAACAAGGCTTCAAGAATATATTGACCAGATAGTGTCATAATATTTAATTCCTTAAACTTATTCCGTACCGACTCCCTCGGAGAAACACAACAAATACCCCGAACAGCCCGCTTCTGCAGCACAAATATGGATTAAACCTCTGCAGCAGCACCCCACAGTAAAATGCCGTACGACATAACGCTATGAAAGTAGCTATGGTACACAATTTTAGCCGTGTCCTCATCAGTAAACTGTCGGATTTTCTTTACTGCATATCCTGCAGAGCTCAGCCTATTCGAAAGAGTCTCTATGTGTGGGCCCCATTGGAGTTTACTATCTATTGTTATGCCTAGAAAAACAGTTTTGTCAACAAAGTTTAGTTCACTGTCCTTAATTTTCAGGTTACCAATATCTCGCTTTACGCTAGTAGTTGTAAATCTAATACATTTTGTTTTATTATCATTAAGCAATAAGTTATTTACATTAAACCAGTTAACTATACGAGAGATAGAATTGTTTACATCGTCCAATAATACGTTATTCCTATTCACTTTAAATAGAAGTGAAGTGTCATCAGCAAACAATACCATCTCATGAACTTCGTTGACAAAGAATGGGAGGTCATTTATGTAAATCAGAAATAAGAAAGGCCCGAGAATCGATCCTTGGGGGACGCCCATTGATACCTGCGAACCCGGAGAGGTGACTCCATTGACATGAACTCTTTGGATCCTTCCCTTTAAATATGAATTCATCAGGCTGGAAGCTTTGCCATCAACGCCATAGTGTTGAAGCTTTCCAACGAGTATATCAGGATGAACACAGTCAAAGGCCTTTGACAGGTCACAAAAGACGCCGACTCCATCATATGATTCTTCCCAGGCGTTAAATATGTCCGAAATCAACTTCACACCGGCATCGATTGTGGAGCGACCCTTAGTGAAACCATACTGTTTATTATGTAAGAGTTTATTTTTATTAAAATGTAAAGAAAGCTGGTCTAGCATTATCTTTTCAAAAACTTTGCTCAACGCAGGGAGCACGGAAACAGGTCTGAAGTTTGACGGATCAGACTCACTACCGGCCTTGAACAACGGTGTAATCTTACTTAATTTCATTTCGTCCGGAAAGACTCCACAATCGATACATCTGTTAAAAATTATAGACAATTCAGAGCTTATTACATTAATAACGGAATTTAAAATGACTGTTGACATACCCCATATATCTTTACTTTTTTTAAATTAATAAGCTTAAAAGTTTTAACGATATCATTACAAGTTATATGTTTAAACTGAAATTTAATATTACATTCAGGTACACATTTTTCTAGCAATGAGATCGCAGCAGCAGGTGAAGAATCTAGGGACTTGGTCGTATTTAGTGGTACATTTGTAAAGAACTCTTCAAAAGAAGAAGCTACCTCTGGGTCAGATTTTATTAACTTCCCTTTAACTTTTAACATATAATCAGTTCGTTTGTCAGACGTTTTACCTGATTCTTCATTTATTATTTTCCAGGTAGCTTTTACTTTATCCATGCTATTTTTTTTTTTTGAACTTAAATATTGAGACTTTGCAGTTTTGCAATCTTTTTTTGAAATTATTTGAATACAACCTAACATATTCCCTAAATTCCACACTAGTGTTATATTGCATTTCGTCATAGATTTCATATAATTTTAACCTTTTCCTGTGTAACTCCTCATTTGCCCAGTCACAGAAACTTGTTTTCTCAGAGACCAATAAAGTCTTTTGAGTAAATACTTTCTTGAATTCATCAATAAATGATCCAAAAAAAGTATTGTATAAATTATTAGGGGATGAGTTGCCACACAGAAATGGCATTCTATAGACCAATGCTTCTCTAAATCTGTCCAAACGGTCATTTGTAATAGGAGTTATCACAATTTTCTTCTTTTTACATGTTTTTTGTTTCCTTAATTGGAATTCAAACCATTGACCAGTGTGATCAGATTTAAATCTATTGAAAATACAAACATTCAAAGGGGCTATGTCACTATATATATTATCTATACAAGTTGCGGTGCTAGCTGTTATTCTTGTGGGTGAATGAAATTGATTTATTAAATTGTATGAACGAAAAAGACTAAGTATGCGTACACTTGAATTAGAATGACAAAGTAAATTGACATTAAAGTCCCCACACACAATTTCCCTTTATTATTTAGTTTCAACACCAAGACTGGTGATTTAGTTGAAGAGTACTTAAAATGAACAATAAAAAACCCTACTTAAACAAACTGAATCGAAAATAAAATAATTCGTCTACTTCGGTCGGAGGTTTAATTGTAACTGAAGCCGCTCGGGGCGCTCGGCACGTCCCCATTCTATATTTTTGTTCGGCTCGGCTCGGCTTCCTTTGATCTGTACCTACTTTATGCGGGTTGGGATCGGCACGGCCCGGGCCGGCATTTTCTAACCCGGCAAAGCCGCCCGGGGCGTCTACATAAACGCGGCTTAGGCCGCCCGGGTCAGCCCGCCCGGCCTACCCCGGCATAGTGTGGACCCTGCTTTATATTTTATATTATATTTTTCCTATGCAATATATAGTCGACATTCTTGACATTTTCTGGACGTAGGCCTCCTTTATTTTCCTTCAGTACGCCCTGCACTGGCATCTCTGTATCCACTGGGAGCCAATCTCCTTGACGATGTCGTCAGTCCACCTGTTTCTGGGTCGGCCCCGCGGTATTTTGTTCTACCGAGGTCTCCATTCAAGGAGCCTGCGGGTCCACTGGTTCTTGTCCATGCGCGCTGTAGCCTGCCACTACTAAGATGTTGCGACAGTCCTTACTACGTCGCTTACGCCGATCCTTCTTTTCTTTCTCCGATAAGAGAGCCAAGCATTGCACACTCCATCGCCCACTGCGTGACTCTTAGGCTTTTCGCCGTGCGTTATCGTTTCGGCACCGTAAAGACAGGCAGGATGCACTGATTGAAGACCATTCTTTTGAGTGCTATAGAGGTGTCCCCGCATCTCTCCATTCGCTACAAAAGCTGCCCATGCCTGCGATATACGTCTGTCGACTTCAGCTTGACTTCGCATCCCACACACACACATGACACATGACAAATTACAAAAATTACGCTATAAGATGCGAAAGTAATAAAAACGTATTGGAAACATACTTAGCGAAAGTCTCTGAATGCTACCCTAAATCTCAATCAATCTTATTGACTGATGACTAGACCTACTTCGTACTTCAGTTAAAATGGTGTAATGGTAATGATTGAATGATATAGATGAAAAAAAATAAGACGAAATACAAAAGTAAAGGATGGTCTGGCCCAAGAGGAAGGAGGAGAGGGCGCCCCATAAAAAGGTGGATAGAAGAAATAGAAGCGGTAGCATGGAGCGAATGGAGAAAGGAAGCCATGGACAGAGACAGTTTGAAAAAGTTGGAGGAGGCCTTTACCGTGAAGGGGTTCCGATCGACGCGACGGTACTGAAGGTGGCGTGGAAGGATATATGATACATTGAACATACATTGACAAGAAAAAAAATTGTAAAAAATCTAAGCTGTATATTATTGTTATACTTCTTTAGGCGCGTTATGAAAAATTGACGAGAGTGAAATTTTACGATGCGCGAAATTTTACCTGAGACACAAAGTTGTCAGTGCGATTATAGCGTGCGCGAGCGAGATGGGAATAAGACAATCTACAAGTAAAAAGAAATAGTATATGCGTGAAGTTAGCAGCTATGCCAAGAATTTTGAATGACCATAATGACATTTACTTTTTAAACAAATAAAGGAGTTTTAATTATTTTTTCAAAGAAATTTAGCAATGCTTTTTGAATTATAATCAGAAGTGATTTAAATTGAATATTTAAATCAATACTAATTAATATTAGAAAATATTTGTGAAAAAACTGTGATCATCAACCTTCCCAAGTGCTTCAATACAATTCAGGTTAACTATCCGTATGTATTATTATTATCGAGTATTATTGTTGAGTAAAACTGAAACATGAACGGTTATTTATTGCTTTTGTTTATTGCGTTTGTTACAGCAACTTTTTAGAAATATTCTACGACCCTATATATCAATAATAGAAATTCTGATGACAACATTGGAGTCACTTAAAAATAAGCCTAGTATAATGAAATAAAAATGTTTTAAAGATAAATAGTGTTTAATTTGTTTAAATAACTTAATTGTTAAAACAACCTAAATTAAGAACTATCAAACTTAAAAGTTTTTATGAATAAAAATGGCTCTCAATGCTGCTCCACGCAGTGTATTTTGAGATGAGGGCACTGTTGGTAGTGAGGGCAGGGTCTCTTCATCATCATCAGAGATAGGTTCCTCTTTTAAATCAATGGCTATATTGTGCAATACTGCCAAAGCTACAACGTACATCTTAGGGTTTGGTAGAGATGTTCTAAATATACATTAATATATACTTTTAACTTAATAGAATTTATGTTACACTTAATGTAAGGGAATAATAATAAATATTTATTTAATTTTCAAATGTAAACTGAACTTTTTTGACTATAATGACTCCTTTTCCAGACTTTGATTATTTAATTGTAATTAATTATTTGCATGCAATCAAAAACTATTCTTAATAATGCCAAAGAAGTATAACTTCTTACGCGCGTACATAAGTACACGCACCCTTTTTTTTGTAATTATTGAAAATTGAACGAGCTTTATTATTATTATAATGATAATAATAATAATTATACAGTTGGTTTTAGTAATATGAACACTTTTGTGAAACAATCTTGGCTTTGATTGCCATCATTAATGTAGAAAAATTATAAAACATAAAACAGAAAGTCTGCCAGTCTGAAATTTAGGTAACTTTGAACACTACATACACCTGTATAAAATTTAAATTGTCGAGTAGCTTTTATGAATTTTCAAATAACCTTCCAGGCGTTGCAAATCGAAGCTGTTCAGTTCGTATTCCGAGACAAGTATCGGAAGATAAACGAGGTTATTTGGAGGACCGACGGCCCGCAGCAAATGCTGACCCGTATAGAGTGATTTCAATTTTGCTACGGACCTGCATATTTGATGAATGAAATGGAAAATTGTCGTTCAGTGCATTATTATGTTATTGTTTTGTACGTTTTTAATCGAATAGATAAATGTTTTTGTTGCTACGTATTTACTTTTATTTAAAATTAACATTTCAATTGAACGCACCACCACTATGTGGAACCAGTTGCCCACCGATGTATCTGATGTATTCCACTTATGTACTTCAAGAGTGAAAGCGTATTAATTCTGAAAAGGCTGAGCCCTCTGTCAATCTGAATGTCTATGGATATCATTTAACATCAGGTGAGGCTTTTACCAGTTTGCCTCCTGTTGCATTAAAAAGAAAAAGAAATAACCAAACATTCGATATTTTGCGAATATAGAATGCAATGGTCACTTTAAAATGTGACCAACTAGAAAATACCAAAGCGATTGAAGCTTTTGTTGTCATCTAATATATAAAATTCTCGTGTCACAATGTTTGTTCCCGAAACTCCTCCGAAACGGCTCGACCGATTCTTATGAATTTTTTATGCATATTCTGTAAGTTTGAGAATCGGCGAATACTATCTTTTAAACCCCTAAGTGATAAGGGGTGTTTACCCCAAAAAAAATTTTTTTGTTTTTATTTTTTTATGATACATCATACAAAAATACATACTTATTATTTAATAATTTTCACCCCTCTACGATCAACCCCTATTTTTTATTATTGAAAGTTATTTTTATTGAACTAAAAAAATATCCTAAAAATAATATCACCATCTAGAGTCACCGCATGTCCGCAGACCGCCGCACCGCACCGCAGGTCGTTGTTGTGTGCGCACGCGTACAGGTGATCCGCGTGGTCGGTCCTTCAATATGGATATCGTAAAGTGTAATAACTGTAACATAGTTATTTGTGAACTATTGGCTTTTGTGCAAAATAAAGCTGATGTAATGGATGAAGACAGTATACTTCGTCTGTGTTCTACTGCGTTCACAACGGATGAAATCACACAGGCGAAAAAATTACTTTTCGAGTCGGTACAAACTATAACACGAAAGAAAAGAAAAGGTGAAGGAAAAAGTAAGCGAGATATGGAAGATATCCTATGTGTGATCAAAGAAACAGATCCTGATTTGATACCTATTTTTGTGGCAAGGGACTTACATCGTCTTCCCCCGGTCACATTTGATCATGTAGACGCCACGAGACTGTTAAAGGACATTATTAAACTGCAAGATAATGTGTTGTTTATAAAGGAAAATTATGCCACTAAGGAAATGGTTTTGAGTCGAACGTCGGGGATGTATGAAAAAGAGAGAGGCTGCTATACAAGACAGTTTTGAGTGCAATAGTGATCCAATTGGTCTTTCGCAAATTATTTCAACGGAAAAAACCGATTCAACGAATATCATTCATACTTCTTGCATTGACAATACAAAGATTCAACGCCCGGTGGCTCAGTCACTGTCATCTGATTCGCTCGCACGCAGGGTTTCATGTCATAGCGACCTCTCACTTTCGTGTCCAACCGAGCGGCCGAGCGGGGAAACGGGTTCTGGCGGTATACGACCTGCGGTTTCGCCTGCGCATGTAACATTGCGGCGACCGGCGAGAATCGAGGTGAGTCAGCCTAGCAACTACTCATATTCCGATGCGGCTTCGCGCGCGCCTCGGGATTCGGAGGTAGCGGGTTCGAATAATGGGAGAATTTGCAAAAATGATGACTGGGTTCTGGTGCAACGAAAGCGAAATAACAGATTCACTGCGATGAAGGGAAAGGCAGATAGTCAGTATAATTCTTTCAAAGCGGCAAATACGAGAATACCGTTTTATATATATAATATTGATATTAATTGCCAGACTGAAGACATCTCTAATTATATTACGAGCAAGACCGGTGTTGACGTGCAATTACAGAAAGTCAATATGAAATTTAAAAAAGATTATGTAGGGTACAAGTTTATGATCCCTAAGGATAAATTATCGATGTTTATGGACGAGAACTTATGGCCTTATTTATTTATTTATTTAATTATAAGTAATCTTACAGCTAACATACATAATATTACAAAACAAACACTTATACAGTACAAAAAGCCAAAACAAGCCTTGTGGGGTAAGCAGGTAGATATAATAGCACTCCAAGAAACATGGCTATTACCAACTGAAGTACCGGATTTGGGGTTGGTAAACAAGGACTTTTCGTATTTTGGTAAATCGGCGATGGACATTAGCAGTGGGTTATTGGGTGGCCGTCCTTACGGTGGTGTAGCCCTGTTATGGAGAAATGATTCATTTCAATCGGTGTCTGTGATCCCCTGTGTGAGTGAGCGTATTGTTGCGATCAAAGTGTGTGTCGCGGACCGGTCTATGTTATTTTTTAGTGTGTATATGCCTACAAACGAGCTTGATAATTTATGTGAATTTGTTGAATGTCTTAGCGAAATTTCTGCTATAGTTGAGAATGAAAATATTGAATCTATATATGTGTTAGGAGATTTTAATGCTCATCCCGGCAAATTATTTGGAAATGAAATGTTAAGCTTTTGCGCAGAGCAGAATTGGCTATGTGCGGACATTGAGAGACTAGGTATTGACTATCAATCATATACTTACACTAGCGATGTGCATGGTACCTGTTCGTGGCTTGACCATTGTTTAACTACTATGGCCGCATGGCGAACAGTAGTAAATGTAAAAATACATTATGATGTCTTCTGGTCAGATCACTTTCCATTGGAGGTCGAATGTAATCTTGAATGGGTTAGACCCATGACTATTCCGCCTAATATTGGTAATGTAAATAAAATTATATAGGGTGAGCGCACAAGAGATCAATTTTATATGTATTTTAAATATTGTAATGATAAATTGAAATTAATAGATTTTCCTCTAGAATTAAGCAAATGTTGTGATAATAATATGTGTACTAATGTGAATCATCTATCTGTGATAAATAATTTATATATGTGTATTATTAATGTTTTAACTGAATCCTCTATTAATTGTTACGAAAATTTTAGTAATAAGTGTGGAATAACCCATGGGAGAATTCGACCATTGATAGGGTGGAACAAGCATGTCCGCAGTGCTCACCAAGATGCTAGACAAAAATTTCTCTGCTGGGTTTGGAACGGGAAACCTCGGTTAGGAACTGTTTATAGTGATATGGTGGAATCGAGGAAACTTTTAAAAAAAAAAGGTTAAATTTTGTCAAAACCACCAGGAGCAAATAAAAATGAATATTCTTGCTACAAAACATGAGCAAAAAGACTTCCGAGGTTTCTGGAAACAAACAAGGAAATTGAGTCCGAAAGCTGGTATCCCGGTGAGCATTGAGGGTGAGTGTGAGCCTGTGAAGATTGCTAACCTGTTTAAGAACCATTTCAGGGTACAATCACTTGGACAGTTAAGTGGGGGTGCGGATGCTGGTGTGGTGGATCCGAGTCGACCCTCGCTAGTACCACCTCGGATAACAGCAAAGGAAATAGCTATGATAATAAATAATATGACTAAGGGTAAGTCTCCGGGTCATGACCACCTCAGCATTGAGCACCTTCAACACGCTGGTCCGCATTTGCCTAGATTGTTGGCGCTCTTATATACCTTCTGTATCAGACATTCGTATCTGCCCAGTTCTTTAATGAGAACGGTCGTTGTCCCGATTTTAAAAAACAAAACAGGTGACGTATCGGACTGTAACAACTATCGGCCGATCTCCCTGGCAACCATAACTGCTAAGGTACTCGACGCAGTGCTCGAGCGGCAGGTGAGTAATCATCTTAAATTAAGTGATGCTCAGTTTGGTTTTAGACCCATGTTATCTACCGAGTGTGCAATCCTGTCGCTGAAGCATGTGGTAGGATACTACACGGAGAGGAATACGCCTGTTTATGCAGTGTTTCTTGATCTTTCGAAGGCTTTCGACCTGGTCAGATACGACTTGTTGTGGGGTAAGTTGAGGCAGACTGGCGTACCGGGACCTTACGTGGACCTGTTCTCGCATTGGTATGAGCGTCAGACGAATCAGGTAAGATGGTCAAACACACTGTCGGAGGAGTACAGGTTGGAATGCGGGGTTTTTTTTTTTTTTTTTACTTGGGGAAATGCCTTGCGCATACCCTACCGCGGTGCGACTGCTTAGTGCGGGAGGGTTATGTGGGACTCGCGAATGTGCATACCCACTAAAACCCCAAGGCGCCACCAACAATCGCCTTAGGCGGGATGCGGTAACAGCAGAGCCTTATCCGCTTCCCGACATGCGATGCGGCAGTTGTGTCCGCCTCTCCCCGCCCATTGTTGATTTGTGAAGATACTTGACACAGCAAGTATCCTTCACAGATCGGGCCATACGCTTTTAGGAATAGCTAGGGGAGATCGGGTCCAGTGCTTGCAGGGATGGATCACCATCCCTTCTTTTGAACGCATGGACCCCTGCTTCCCCGCTTGGGCACTCTTTAGGTGGCGAGGATTTGACGGGCCTGCGGTTTCTTTCGCCGCCGCGGACGGGTTCCGGGACAAAGCTCCCTGGTTCTTCCCGCTTCTTCTTTGACTTTCATGACCGACTCGCAGAAATTATAGAAGATTTTCCACGAGCCGTCATTTCCTGCGCTCAATATGGCTTTCACTACGTTTGGCAGTATTGCGTCCTCGCCCTGGAGAGCATCTAACAAAGGTCTCCTTTCCACTTCCCATGCTGGGCAGTCCCTCAGTGTATGCAGGGCGTCGTCCCGGTTGTCTCCGACACAGTGGTGACAGGTTGGTGACTCCTCACACCCTACTACTTTGTGCAGATAACTACCAAAGCATCCGTGTCCGGACAGCATCTGCACAAGTCGATAGCTGAGGTGACCCCAGCGCCTCTTTACCCAAAGTTGAAGCAAAGGTCTGAGGGCTTCGGTAGTATATTTACCGGCACTCGCACCCGCCAGCTCGCTTTCCCACTCTACTAACAATTGCTGGTCTTCTAAGGCTCGCCACGCGTTTAATTGTTCCAGTGTGGGGTTATCCCCTTTATCCCGAGCTTCGGCCCTCCTCCAATATACTTCGCTAAAAGCAGCCGCATCGAGGTGCCATGGCGCGGTACCGGCTATAACACACACTGCGTCATAAGACACAGTGCGGTACGCCCTCGCAACCCTGGCAGCGACCACTCGCTGCGACTGCCTGAGTATTGCGCGATTGTACCCGGTCAGTTTGTCGGCCCATATGGGACACCCGTACAGTGCTTTTGCCCGGATCGCATTAGCGTATAAGAGGCGACACCCCCACTCGGCCCGCCGAGGTTTGGCATTATGCGCGAGAGCATGTTTGCGGTGGCGGTGAGCTTAGGGGCAAGTGCCACGAAGTGTGGTCTGAAAGTCCACCCTGGGTCAAGAATCAGCCCAAGGTATTTGAGCGTGGTACCGACCCGGATAGCTACTCCGCCGACAATGATGTCTGCGTCTTGAGGTGGAGCTTTTCTGTGGCCGTAGAAGCATATAGCTTCTGATTTCTGAAGGGCGACAACAAGGCCGAGCTTCTTGATTTCAGAAACCACCCTAGCTACTCCAGCTGTCGCTCGGAGGCGCGCTTCCTTAAAATTTTCTCCAATAGCGACCACGAGGGTGTCGTCTGCATAGCATATAGTTGACACTCCAGGGACTAGTTTCGCTCGCAGCACCCTATCGTAACCTATGTTCCAAAGAAGGGGGCCAAGAACCGAACCTTGTGGGACGCCGCACTTGATGAGGTGACTCCCTATGCCATTTTGTTTCGGGAAGATAACTCGGCGGCCGTTGAGGTACGATGCTACACATTTTCTTATATAGGCCGGTAAGCCGTGGTGGCGCAGGCCGTCCGCGATACAGTCCCATGGTAAGGAATTGAAAGCGTTCGCGATGTCTAACGATACCGCGAAAACCACTCTGCCCCGTGACACCTGCTCCTCGCAGACGCTTCGCAGGCGCGCAATTGCATCGATCGTTGACCTATGTTTCCGGAAGCCGAATTGAGCCTCATGTATGTTTGGTCCTATAGTTTCCAAATGATTGTAAATCCGACCGGCAATAATACGCTCGAAGAGCTTGCCGGCTTCATCTAGGAGAACTATAGGCCGATACGCTGATGGTGACTCTGGAGGTTTTCCACCTTTTTTTAGAAGAACTAGCAACCCAGTCTTCCATGTTGACGGAAAGAGGCCATTTCTAAGACATTCCGTGAGGAGGCTTCGAAAGCGCATGTCAAGACCAGCGTCGAGGGCCAGAGCTACCACTCGTCCGTGCATGCCATCGGGACCAGGTGCAGTTTTTTTAGTGGTCATGCGCGCTATTGCTGTCTTCAGCTCCGAAGGAGATACTTCAGACACTGTGACACTGTGTTCCGTAGTCGTCTCATGTGGGGAGCTCAGGGCGTCGCGTTCAGGAAAAAGTTCCGTCACCACTCTGCTGAGCAGTTCCGGCTCCATGTTTTTCGTGAGTGGCGGGGCCCACGAGCGCAGCTTGTTTGTGACAATCTGATACGGGCGTCCCCAGGGATCCCGCTCCAGGGTGTCAAGCAGTTCTTGCCATGCTTTCTTTTTTGCTTCGGCGATACCTATTCGCAGCGCCAGTTTTGCATCTCGGTATACGCTATATGCTTGTTTTTCCTCTTCTGTGCGAATTGGTCGCCTTCTGCGAGTCCTGGTGTAGCCTCGACGAGCTGCTAGACAAGCTACCCGCAACTGGGCGAGTTCTGCCGACCACCAGAATACACTGGTCCGGTGAGCTCCAGGGCGTCTTCTTTGCATTGCGGCATCCGCTTTGGAATGCGGGGTGAGGCAGGGGGGTTTAACCTCACCGGCGCTTTTCAACCTGTATATAAATGAGCTGATCGAGGCGCTCGGTGGCGCACGTGTCGGCTGCTCGATCGATGGTCACTGTGTGAATAGCATCAGTTACGCAGATGACATGGTGCTGTTGAGCCCATCGGTCTGTGCTCTCCGGCGGTTGTTGTCCATCTGTGAGAGGTTCGCGGAATCGCATGGGCTCCGCTATAATGTTAAAAAAGTGAATTGAAATACATATTGAATTGAATACATGAGAATAATACTCTAGATTAACATAAAATTGTAGTCGTTCTTAAAATAATCACAATAAAAGATAGCCGTACATGCTATGCCATGCATGCATTAATTTTATAGTTTTTGTCGCGTCATTTAATTTACTTAATTCGTTTTATTCGACGTCTATTACTGACTGAATTTTAGAGTTCGCTTGATCATTGTATATAAAGCTGATGAACATATAATCTAAATATTTGTTCCCGCTCCAGGTTAGATGAATGGTGTGATCCTTTCAAAACGATTAATTTTATGTCTTCCTGGAAAACAAAGGCAGGATATCCTAGCTAAATGATGACAACAAGATCAACTAAATTGACTATGTTAATAAATATGTGATACCCACGGCCATTATTAAAGACCGTCAACACACCCGTTAACTTCCTGGCGTTGCAGGCGCCAAGTTATATTTTTTTTTTAAAGGCTTACCGTAATTTTTTTTGGGCGTTGCGGGCAATTATGAAAACAAACTGATAATTGTTTTTCTATATCCGAATTAGATTACCCTTCGAAGCTTTTATATACAAAAGCCTAATCCTCACTAATAGGAGAGAGAATCGGAGTTGTTATAAAACTCAATTCCAGTATGGCATTGATGTTACATTGTTTATTGTGAATAAAATATTTAAATTTTAATGCCATATAAATGAGTAACTAAGTCCCAAAAGCACATGAATGTATGTTTTAGATAACTGACAAAATATCAAGTTTCTAATCCCAATTAGAAGAATCGAGACAAACAGTTTCATATTTGTATATAAAAATAAAAACATACAGGTACTGGTCTACTCTTGTAATAACTAGTTCAAACGATAATAAAGTGTGAAAATATCTTCTCTCAATTATTCGTATTTCAAAAACCACATTGATGGACTTCGCGAAACAATAAAGTTTCGATACAATGTTTTTCCGGGAGCGGTGTATAAATATTTTCGAATCACTCTGTTTGTTATGATGGTGGGTTTATTCACATTTTTATTTTCTACGCCTTCGTAATCTTTTATGAGCATTTGCAAGTCTGATGTCCTTTTGAACAGTTGCGAAAACAAAAGTTCGATGATGTTGTTTATTGTGGGCTACAAGTAGCTGAATTGTTTTTTTCTTCTCGAATGGCACAAGACACAATTTCGCTTAATGATATTCTATTGATTTTACTTATGTTTATTCACTCAACTATCAGTTTGATGCTGACGTTATCTCGATCTTTATTTACTTACTCCTTATTCATGCCGTATTCTTCTTTATGCTGTACCTACTCTTCACCTTACATATGACAATCACAGGTTCAAGGTCGCAAAGCTGATTCTGGGCTGCATCGAGGCTCGAGGTTTCCTGCTATTTAGATAACAAATAAAAAAACAAGAGAAGTTTCTGATAGTGTCGTTGCTAATTTTATTTAAAGATTTATTAGCTATTTGAGGTTACAAGAAATATATGCGTGTGTGCATATACTTTCTTAGGAACAATCTCTTGGCTCTTATGTGATGTGTTCAGGGAACTATTACAATGACAAAGAGACAACCAAAAAGAGCTATAGGTTTAGGATTAATGCAAGTCATTTTTATATTCTCAGTGAATATGACGTAGGTTAGTATGTATCTGTTGTGTGTTAATATACAGTATTCTATTGAGTTTCTTTGAATTGCAGGACAGAAACTACAAAACTCAATAGGTACCAACGGAAAAAACTCAGAAGTAAGACCATTTATATCTTCTAACTAGTATATCAAATTATCTTATATATATATTTAGAGCATGAACGTCAAAAAAACTAAATTACTGCCTACATTTAAACTTAATGCTTTACAAGCGTAGTACGAACGGAAATAACTGGCAAAAAACTGTCCTGTTTTAATCTCCCAAGTAATTTATGTTACAGAATTTATTATCAAATCCAGCGGGACTTAATACCGACAGAGTTGACGAGGACTTGCTGCAGCTGAATGCCAACAAATGGCAGGAGGTGGCACAGGACAGGAAGCGCTGGAAGTTTCTCGATTAGGAAGCGACTTTTTGTAGCGCAGAGCAAGAGCAAGAGCGAACTAGTAGTATTATAATAATATATTCTTAGTATTAAAGGTTGTGATGTAAATAATCTTGCTATATACCTTAATGGATCTACGTAGCTTCCATATTAATTGTTGGTATCTAAGGCGTGCATTAAAGTTTTACGTCTTTCCTAATTTTTCTTTCCGGATTTGTGATTATCGCGGCTTGTTATGGATACTAAACGGAAGATTTAGAACCAAACTATAAAAACTGAAATGTTGATACATTTTTAATGTTAAAGTTATAGGAAATCCCATTTATTATGTTGTACATATTTGCCTGCTAAATTTAGACTTTAGAAATAATTGTTCCTTATTAAATCATTGAATTATCAGGTTTCGGTCTATCATTTGCAACTTAATATAAGTATTAAGTCCTGAAAATCTCTAATGGTTTAGTACATGAAATTCTAGTTCAAGCTAATTTTCAATAGGATTATGCGCTTTAGTAATTGGAAGTTCAAACTAGTATTTAAAGCTTAATAAGCTTTTTCGCAGCGTAGAGAACTAACAAAGCTATTTATAAACTAATTCAGTCCTATTATTTGGCTAAGTATTTGTCACTGGCAAGATTTCGCTTCAGCATGCGACTCTCATTTCTGAGATGTAGCTACGATCTCGGCTGTGCATGAATTGACTTTGTCTATCTGCGCATCTCACACTCACTCAAACGGTGAAGAAAAAAAACATATGGAAACTGTCATGTTTTAAATCCAAAAATCAAGGACAAGTCTCAGATACAGAAGGCTGCTGAGCACCTACTTGTCTATGAAATAAAAATGATCAAAGAAACGGACGAATTTGAGAACAAGATCCATTTAGGGTTGTGGACTGAATTATTATTATTATAAAAATTCAAAGAGGTGCCAATGAGAACTTTGCGCTGGTAGAGTATTGATACAATTGATTATGTTCATATGTATTTAGAAAATACTTTTTTACCGGATGGAAGTTATGTATTATTATAAATTTACAATTATTACCGTGTCACCAGTCACCGTGACCACGCACGCTGTAAAGCACGCGAAACGTCGGTTGAATTTAAAATTATGTAAAATAATTGTAAATTTATAATAATACATAACTTCAATTCGGTAAAAAAGTGTTTTCTATGTGTAAAAGTTATGTCAATAAAACACAATCATATGTATTTATTTACCATGTAAAACAGCTATTTGGTCTTCATGATTATAACTGGCTATAAAGGTGTAATGCATTGAAATGTTATGTAAAATACTACAAAAATGCAGAGGAATTGTTAATATTTTCCTCCAAATTAGGAACGAACCTAAAACACTATTTATTTACATGTGCGAAGGTGGGAAACTTTTCACTCAATATTACTTTTCCAGTTCATAAGTTACATATTCAATGTGGATCAAATAAAAATCCAGTCACAGATAAAATATTTTATATTAAATTCTAACATCTATTATTAATATTTACACTTTATTATCACATAGATTGTCAGTAAATTCAACGATATTGCTATTCGGGAATATGTACAATTCACTCACTCTTTCATCACCTGTAGGGAAGTCGTCATTCGAAATAGGTTTTGTACTTTTTCTCGGCTCTCGTGCGTACCGATTTCCATTTCTGTACGTATCAACGTCGGCTTTTAAACGATAATGGTTTTCAATATTTTCTTTCCCATTTCTTGAACAGTGACAAGAATTGCGAAGGACTTTTATGGAATCAGGAGCGTTGACGGGCTTTCGCGTTAAATAAACACTTCTTTCGTTGGTTGAACGAATTGATAAGACGCGCGTTCTGTAAGATTGGCCGTCCTAAAAAAAGAAATATTTTAAATTTGGAACACAAAAAAGTGATTGTGAAAAGTTGAGCGATATTGAGCCTTCTATTTCCATTTTTGTTTTTTAATTTTCATTTGTTTAAGTACATTTATTCTCTTATTCAAATCAAAGATAAAGCCTTTTTACAGCCATACATTTTTGAGAACCGTAGATATTGGATCACATATGAGACACTTTTAGTTGTATAATTTAGGAACCTTGTACGGTGCTCTGTGAAAAGGTTATTCGATCATAGATAAATTATGTTAAAGTTATGTGGGTGTAACCTACATCATAGCTATCATTATTAAATCGATTCCGCTTCTGACCGAACGTAAACCGCTGCTTGAATTCCTTTTTGAACTTTTCCTGAAACAAGAGTAATGATTAAATAATGGCCATAGAATATATGTATTATTGATAAAAGAGACGGAAAGAAAGAGAGAAAGATAAATAAATTTATTGAAGACACAGATTATACAGAATAATATCAGTAACACCATAGATATGGGAACTTAATTATTTATTTTGGATATTTAAAAAAATTAATACATAGATTTTCGCGTGTCTATTATTTATTTACATATACATATATATCAATGTTTAGAGAGTTTTACAGCCATCACGGCCAGCGAGAGACTACCACATTGTCATTATACCTATTTTATAGTATGATAGTGTTATTGAAATGTTGCCAAATTCACCAATTACCACGTAGCTGAGAAGAATGGACAATTGAGACTAGTAAGTCTTAACTATCGCATTTATATTCGTTATGACGTTATAAATTATTTAACTGTTTTTAATTATATCTAGAGACTTGCATCGATTAAGCGTTTTTGAAGTTATACTTCTTTAGGCGCGTTATGAAAGATTGATGAGAGTGAAATTTTACGATGCGCGCGCACCGTTACACAAAATTATCAGTATGATGTTGCCCACTAACGAATTCTTTTTAAACCAGCCGGGCGCCGAGCGTGCGCGAGCGAGATGGGAATAAGACAATCTACAAGTAAAAAGAAATAGAATATGCGTGAAGTTAGCAGCTATGCCAAGAATTTTGAATGACCATAATGACCTTTGTAGTACCTTTTAAACAAATAAAGGCGTTTTAATTATTTTTTCAAAGAAATTTAGCAATGCTTTTTCACAAAGACCTATTCTTACTTAGTTAAAAGGTTATGAAACATACCTAGTTATTAAATTGAATGAATAATATAATAAAATAATAATAATTATTATTATTAATTAATAATTGAATAATATACTAATTATTAATGAATTATTAACGTTTAATATTTATTATTAATTATTTAAGAAAATAAAGAAAGCCAAAGAAGTATAACTTCTTACGCGCGTACATAAGTACACGCTCCCTTTTTTTTTGTAATTCTTTCAAGAAATGTAAAAGTTTCTTGAAATTTATAGTATTCGGTCAAATCAAAGACATGAGAGTTTCTGTAAGAAGACTTTAATCTGAATTGGTTGGGTAACAATATCGTGGCGTATTTTAAGTCGTTTTTCATATCATAATCATAGTAACCTATTACAATAATCGACACATATGTTCTGAATATATATTCAGCACAAATATGTAGACAGCGTGTGTAAAGAGTATTATCATCAACCTTTAAAGAAAAGTTATTTGGGAAACACAAAAATCTGAACACCAAGCCAAAGCCTTAATCCAAAAACGTATTGAATTTGACACACGAAAGTCATACTTAGTCTGGACTCTGTACGCAATAGTTTTAAACTAAGTTTAACTAGTGCTTTTAGCCTAAGTCGCTAAGCAGAAAAAGCTTTCTAACTAGTACGGCTTGAGACGAGAACAGCTGTAGGGATTATCCAAGTCTTTTCTTCTTCTTTATTGTTTTCTATAATAAAATAAAAATGCATGTATTTGAAAATACACATTTCATTGTCTTTGATTAACATAACTTTTATTCATTTAATAAAACACTATTTTGACCGGATTGAAGTTATGTATTATTATAAATTTACAACTATTTAACATAATTTTAAATTTATCCGACGTTTCGCGTGCTTTACAGCGTGCGTGGTCGTGGTCACCGTGACTATAACTTCAATCCGGTCAAAATAGTGTTTTATTAAATACACATTTCTATCTCGGCCAAATTGAACACGTTTGAGGGAAATGCTCAAATCGAGCGCTCGCTATCTCTTGGCATGTTTATACAACAAATATTGTTGCAAACGAATTGTTTCGTTCGCTTAGAATATTATATTCAATCTCATCGCAATCTATGTCTGGGAACACGGAAGAGGTGTATCTTTGATATATTCAATGGTTCCACGACTGAACACACATTTGATAGCTTTAGTATTTCTGGTAAGCATTTATGTTTTGTTATAATATATATATAAATTACGTGTCACGTTGTTTGTCCACTATGGACTCCTAAACTACCGAACCGATTTCAATCAAATTTGCACACCGTGTGCAGTTTGATCTAACTTAAAAGATAGAATAGCTTACTTCTCAATGTATACCCACATTATTATTTTATTTCAAAATATTTGTTTATTATTTGATAGTCACAATTCTAACAGATGGCGCTGTGTTGAAAGTTTCATATAAGCTACAATTGAATGACATAACCACCAAAAAAGCATGGTGGTCCCCATCATTGGTGTTCTCCTACCGTTTCCCTTGAATAGTTTACTACTATGTAATATCACAAAAACCTTAGCCACAGCAACGCTTGGCCGGTCTGCTAGTCTATATATAATATAAAGTAGACAAAAAAGGTGCAACCTAATTTCCTACTGAATATACTTTAAGCGCACCAAGCAAAATTGGGCCAATATACCTATCTCTTGTTACCATCAAGTGTCATAAAGCATCTCATTACAGGGGCGCGATAATCTTTACCCGTCATTAATTTCATTTCTGGACGTATAGATACGGTTAGTCGATTAGATTTAAATTATCCAGGGTCCTCGTTAATTCAATTAGGAGACATTTTGAATAGTGAATCTAATTTACAATTTACTAACTTTAATTTAAACGTTCGATAAAAAAGAAATATATATTTTGAATTTTATTCATATCATCAAAAATATCTGTAAATTAAAATGAATACAAAATTACCCACATTTTTTGACGACACTGTAACTTGTGTTTATAATTACAAATATTAAGGCCCTATCCCAGCAGGAATTGCTGTGTCAGTGTCTCGGGACGCAGTGGAGAGCTGGAGCACTGAGCGCGCCGGCCCGTAATAACAATTAGTTATGTAAAACATTAAATTAATGTAATTTTATCAAAAAAATTTCTTATGTGGATTACTTGGCTTGCGATAAAATATATCGTGTAAATTTCAATATCATGTTCTATATACATTTTCGTTATAAAATGAATTCAAAGTGTCAAAAATTGGCTATGTGTGGATTTTTTTTTATCAAGCGAAGTTATTTGAATAGTTTATCGATCTTTCAAAATGAACTACTCAACTCCAGCAAATGTTTTTTTCCATTCGCCCTTCTTCAAGAAACGATGACGAAAAATGGTAAGAAACAATGTACTTTTTTGGAGTTTGGCGACCAGATAGGTCCTTAATACTTACATTATAAATAGCATAGATGAATGGATTGTAACAGGAGTTACTCATCGCCAACCAATCAAAACAGAAGAAGAGCACGTTAATGTATTTATATCTGAAAAAAAAAAAACGTATTTATAAAACTATGAATAAACGAAAACACTTTCTTACCGTATTGAAGTTATGTATTATTATAAATTTACTACTTTACTACTTACTTTAATTTATAATAATACATAACTTCAATCCGGTAAAAAATTGTTTTCTTTAAATGTGTAAAAGTTATGTCAATAAAAGACAAATTAAGAATATACGAAATTGCAGATAAAATCGTTGGGATCAGTGTTGCTATTGGGTTACACAGTACCGTCCTCGTTAAGTTTAAATTTATGCTTCTACCAGGCGACTGTGGACCACAAGGCACACTTCATATTAGCATTGCAAAGAAATGCCATCCTCAATAAAGCCACTACAGGGATTACTTCTATATATTAGAGAACATGTTAATATTGCAGCCTTTATCTACATTAAGGCATTTTTGTTTAAATAGCAAAACCATTACTCCGACTCTTTATTAAATAACCGTTTAGTATGTTGGAGTAAATTAAAATTCAAAAGCATTTATTAATTTAGGTAACATAATGTACACTTATGAACGTCCATAAGGAAATACATATTAAATGCTAAATGCTTCTAATTTTAGATTTACTGCCAGTTCTCAAGTCAAGGGCGCAGAACGGACGAGAAGAACTGGCAATAAACTCTCCGCCACTCTTTATGATCGCCAAGTGTTTTGTTTTACAAATACATATAAGGTTTGTAAAGAGCTGCCTGCAACTATTACACAATGTTCCATATGACATCTTAAGTATTTAATAATAAAAAAAATAAAAAATAAAATTTGTCCTCTATCAGTAGTCCTCTATGGTCAAAAAAATGGACTTACATTGTCGTGGGAACATCACGCAAGTAGCATATAGCAGACACAAACACTTTTTTTGTAACTGAATTAAATTTGAATTTGGATATTTTTAATATGAATTAATACATTATTCATTCTATACAGCATATTAATGAGGACAAGAGGAAACTTTTTTAATCATTAAGCTTTAGGGAACACTCAATCTTGCTTAAACACCTCGAAATCAGTGTTACTTTGTTGCGCCTCAGGTGGTTTGCTGATTAAACTTTGTAAAGGGAAATAGAAAATGACTTCGTTTAATTGATATTCTGCCATGTTTGCTATACACACGAACACAGTATTGAGGTTCATAATAAGCTTGTATTTTTTTTTAAATTACTAATCTTGAAAAAGCTAGAGTGAGCGGAAAGCATCGTGGGATTTGAGGTCGCAGCTGTGCTAAATTAGACTTTTTTGTTACGTTGACCAACACTGGTACACCATTATAGTTCGACATAAATCTTGATGCTTAATACAACAAAGTTCTAAAACAACATGCAAAAAACCACAAGAGAAATATGACATTAACATTACAGCAATACTGTTAAGACACAAAAATTACTAATCTTCTCTATATTAAAATAATTCAAGCGTTTATCAAGTAGAATTTAGCAACCGTTTTAGACTTCAATTATTTTTCTGCTAATACGTCATCTTCATACACTACTATATGAAGCATGGATCAATCTGATTATAGATTTAAACGGCACGCTGTATTATGGAACAAGTTGTATATCAGTTATACAGTAATATACAGTGTTTAATATTAGACCTCCCAATAAGTAGTAGGTACATTGTCGTAGACATACATAATATGTCAAATTGAAAATGTATGATTTTAAAGCTTCATCCCAGACGAGCTTTTGAGTTTTAGTACCACGCTATGCTTAGGTTACCAGCGCTTCGCGTATTAAAACAACTATATCTTGCATAAAACATAATAACTATTTGTTATTTTTTTTTAATTTAAAAGATAGAAAAAGTCCCTGGACGCAATGGCAGGTAGAGTATTATTAATAATAATAAAAAAACTATTTGCTATTTAAATTTACAAATTATGATACATTATACAACAAACTAAAAACATAGTTAATATGTGACGTGAATGATCATGTGAATAATATACATTTAATCAATACGAAAAATTTACTGCGCACACATCTATATTATGTCAATTAGGTAGAATATATATATAAATCAGCGATAGGACGGGGAGAAAACGGGCAGGAGGTGCACCAAATGTTAAGTGATACTACCGCCCATGGACACTTACTCTGCCAGAAGGCTCGTAAGTGCATTGTCAGCCTTTTAAGATTTGGTACGCTCTATACTCCTAGGACACTAAGACGAATTGGTTTGGAAATACTTCAATGGGCAGCTGGCAAATTGTGTGCTTCCATTGTAGACCGACGGACGCCCATAGTCATGATTGAGTGGCTATTATAAAAAAGGAAAAATGTTTTACTATTGGATACTTACTCGTTGATAGATGGGAATAACGTCTGCAGCAATAAATAGCTTTGTAAAGGCAGCCAGCAGATTGCAAACAAAGCTACCACCAATACAAGCATTTTAATTACCTGTAACAAAGAAAACTTTTAATTTTTCTGGAGTATTTTCTGTATTCATGAATTATTAATTATTCTAACTATTTTCTGTATGCATGTAGTTGTAAAAAAATATGTTTCGTTGTTTTTTGTCCTTCCGTGCATTGCATCTCAAACCAATTCGGGAATCAATGACCTCAATATTGGCACACGTCACTAAGTTAGTGTGAATATTAAACAGAAATGTGTGCACTACTTAACGAATGAAATGAAAAATCATACGCTATTATTGTGTGAAGTTGCTTTTTCCAGTCCATTTAATAATTGCGGTGTGTTGAAATCGTTTATAAAAGTTTTCCAATTCAATTTCTCAAGAGATTAACCGAACAGAAAATGCCAAAGAACTGAGAATTCATTATACATGAATTGACAATTATCTGTTGTAATAAAACGGTTTGATAAAGTACGTTTTCAATATAAATTACGCAATTAAACAATGCCGAAAATATCAATGATATTAATTTACAATTTCGAAAAGCTGGTGTAACAAATACCATATTTCAAATAAGCAAATTACAAATGCGATAAGTTCAAACCCCTTGTTCAGTAACAAAGTTTGAATTGTTCCACCAAATTTGGTGTTAATTTGTTTTACACATATAAAATTTAGCTTTATTTGTTATTATTATTAGCTTTATAGGATAAATAAAATCCACAATTCGCCTTGAATAATGACTTGTAAACGCTTGAAGAGATTGGGGATATTGCCTTTACTATATGCCGCATTTTCGATATATTTTGTATTAAACCATTTACTTAAAGTGAGACAGACTATTTTATGTAAAAAGATATAATAATGACAATCCTTTAAATACTTTTGATCCTTTCTTACGCTGTAAACATTACATGATATGTTTTAATAATTATAACTTGACTTTTCATGTGTCCTATTTATTTTGACAAACTCGAAGTCTTCGGCGAGTTTCAGTTCGTTTATTAAAACTAACAATATGGAACGTTCCAACTAACAAAATGTGAGTTTTTCAAAATTCAAAATTCATCTTTTCTTTATACAAGTTACATTGTTTAGCAGATATGGGAGCCCCTGAACTAAGTCTAGGGAGACCTGTACAGGAGTACCCTGTACGCCACTCTTCCAACGGTTTAATGAAATTGTAACTTAATAATTGTTACCAAAATACTATATAAAGAAAAATAGAAAGCTAAGACTTATTACTATTTAAAAACTGATTAAGAATACTGAATGTGTCCAATAAGACTCATTAATTGTAAATTTTCCATTTTTTGTAAAGTTCGGCATTGTCCATTAAAACATATAGCAGTCCCAATCGAGTTAAATTTAATAAAATTGACAGGGTAAAGCTTAGTATATATATGTAGGGCAGAGTATTTACCCTCCTTTGTATTTTACTGATAAACTTTAAGGTATTTCTCACTTGTATTCATCTAGTCCTGAAACACTTTATTTTTAGTGCAAGTACTTACCGTTTCAAGCGAGATGTACATTACTTTGATACTGTTCAAATGTACATTGAACTCCGTTTTTATAATATTAATTAATAATTATATTTGATATTATTCATTTAGCAACCATTTGATGATATAATCAATTCTTTCCGTAGGACATTAAGCAACTGCTTATAATAATACATACCCTTTTCTTGTTCTTCATATGATTAGCATCCCTCGTTTCTTGAGCGTTACCGGGGGCTCTTGCACCCCACAGTTTCATAGCCATGTGGGCATATGCAAATGTTATAACGCATAGTGGTATGACATACTGCAAAATAAATATCTATTACTAACTGGCAAAGTGCAAGAAATAGTTGTTAAAAGTCAGTTACACCATGACGGCTCTAACCGAACTATAATAGCCAAAATAGATCCAAGATCAACAATAAATGTAATTAAATTTAACAAAATGGTGATAATAATATTTTTTTAACCCAAACAAACGGAACTTGTTCGTGGAGAAATTTAAAAGTTAAAAACACGACGCCGTGTTTCGTTATTTTTTTTTGTTGATCAGCATCTCTCGTCTTAATACGCGTTACACCCGACATTATTATTATTATTATATTTTTATAGAACAGGGGGCAAACGGGCAGGAGGCTCACCTGATGTTAAGTGATGTCGCCCATGGACACTCTCAAGCCAGAGGGCTCACGAGTGCGTTGCCGTCATGTATTATACGTCACGTTATGGTCCAATCAGAATCAACACGATTACGTCTGAGTTCGTACAATCGCTTTCATAGTCACTGTTGGTTTTGGCCAATCATAATTATTCGAAACGCGCCACTGCTTCGTACGTTATGCGTACTATATAGCAAGAATAGTCAAATTAATGATTTTTAATTGAAAATAAATGCCTATAGTGATGCATTTTTTGTAAACTTTGTCTTTTAAATTATGATATGTAGACAATAATTTTATATTTTCACGTATTTTTTAATTCATGTAGAACTAGTATTAATTTAATATGGACTTATTTCGCAAGTTTAATTTATATTATGTTGGCCTAAATTAATTTTTATATAAGCTTCAACTTACTTGAAAAATGTACAGCAGAAGTCGATAAATCGCAAGTGAATTTGAGCCGAACTCACTTGCCGTGCAGAAAGGCTTGTTATAAACCATTTTTGACACTGCAATTAAAAAGGTCAGTTAAAAATACACATACGTGTCAATTTCTTGTTAATGCACATGTAGGTATAACTTGAAGGGAATTTTAATTCCCGACGAAACAATTTTCGTTGGGCAGCTGCTGATGAGAGAGAGAGAGAGAGTATATGAAAAAAGAGACATTCTTACGGACGGAATGATTTTTAAAATAAACATTGCTTGTCTATTAATTATTATACATGTTAATATATGAATTGAACAATATTTGTAAGCACAGCCATTAACACTGCACTGCATTATTATCATAAATTAAACTTAGATGTAGCTATAATAAAAATATTTATTCGAAATGTTTAAATGGTTTTAAGTTAAAAAAATTTAAAAATTCATAGTTTAGTAAAACAAGTACATTCTTTACGCCTTTTTTAGGCAAAGCAAAAGCCAGTCTACATGCCTTGTCTATCGTATTCAATTTCTCTATTAATTTATATCCACAATCAAGAAAAACTGGAAATAGAAAATAATAATAAAAGTATTATTTTACCTGGATCCTGCTCTTGTTCCATGACGACCTCCCAAGACATAGCCATTGGTGCCGCGAGAGATAATGCCAAAATCCATATTAGTACAATTATCACTTTGGCCACTCGCTTCGATGTGTGAGCACTAAACAAAACAATTTTAATGTTAAGAGTAGGGGAGCCCAAGAGGGGATTTCGGGATTTACTAAAGCGCGGCAGATTAATATACAGGGGGATAGCTTGTACTCGGTTAAGTACCTCCACAAAACATGGTAGGGGAGCCCAAGAGGGGATTTCGGGATTTACTAAAGCGCGGCAGATTAATATACAGGGGGATAGCTTGTACTCGGTTAAGTACCTCCACAAAACATGAGGTCCATATATAAAGCCGCCTGTGAAGGAGACAGGATCAGATTAGTAAAAAAAAACCAAAAATAGTGTTCTATGAAACTTCTATCAGACTTTCGACCTGGGAGAGCTCAAATGCATAGAAATGTTATTTCTTTGAACTCAGCGAGCTCAAAATATCAATTTTAAGCGCCCAGGAATGGAATTAGCGGGAAGTTGCAGGGATGGCCCTTTAGGTGAACCGTTTTTCTAAATTTTTTTTGTCAGATCAGGCGAATCCCTCTAGATAATCGTCAGATTATGAGACAGTACGTTTAGAACATAAAGATGAACCACATATATCTTAATCTGACGCGCTTGAGTATTTCAAAATTGTGATTTTTTTTGCAAATTATGAAAATGGCTGTGGGTTTGCGTCCCATCGAAATCGTCAGATTAGTGAATGAGAGCTTTTTTTGGTGCACTTAACACTCCCTTAGAAAATCTGACGCGCTCGATATTTTTTTTTTTTTTCATTTTCAACCCTTAAATACAACCACCCGCATCATGCAAACGATCAGATTAACATACGTACATTATTAAAAATACGTAGGGCATAGATGCTATCAATATCTGACGCGCTCGAGGATGTCCATGCAACAGTTTTTTTTTACATATTTAACTATCTATAGCCGCTTCCCCCACCGATGAAAAGGAATTTATCATATAACATTTTTTTCTTCTTATTATCTAAGCTTTGCATCCCAATAGGTCTCTACGACGCTCGAGTAAATCCCCATTTAGCATCGTGGGCTCCCCTACCAATATGAGGTCCATATATAAGGCCGCCTGTGAAGGAGACAGGATCAGATTAGTAAAAAAAATTGACCATCAGAAATTCCCGAGCGCATCAGATTAAGGTAGGGTGAGTTAATTACATCCTAAAAGTGTATATTCCACTAATCTGACAATTTGAGAGTGACGGAAAAAAGGGGAGGGCAACAAAGTTGTAAAAAAAAACGTCATCTCGACATTCTCGAGCGTAGCTAATTTTTTTTTATTTTGAAGGAAATAATTCAAGAATAATGAAAAATATATAATCTGACGATTTCCGCAAGCCGAAATAACAAAAATTCGTCGATAAAGTTAAATGCGTGCAGCTGCGTGATGCCTACATTTCCTTAAACCGATCGGAATCTACTAAACGGCGTTCTAAATATTTCCCTCAAAATTACATTTCCTGTGAATTTGAACCGATTCGAAACGATAGATTTTGAGAAATTTTGAAAAATCTTAAAAAATTAAGAAATATTTTTTTTAAAGTGGTTTCTTTATCGATCAACTTCAAAAACTAATCCGCCTTTGAGCTTGAAAAACCACGTTGATCGCCACTAAGCTGGTCAAAAGCGGTTGATTCGTTCGAGAGATATCGTGAACGAAAGAAACCCGAAAAAGTGTTTATTCGGGATTACTCCGAAATTTGTGGTTCGATCAATTAAAATTGCAAAATTACTTATGAGGATGATAAAACTGCGTCGAATGCCGCCAACCGCGTGAAAATTGCTTGATCCATTCAAATGTTATTGCGGTTTGAAAATTCCAAAAATAGTGTTCTATGAAACTTCTATCAGACTTTCGAGCTGGGAGAGCTCAAATGCATAGAAATTTATTTCTTTGAACTCAGCGAGCTCAAAATATCAATTTTAAGCGCCCAGGAATGGAATTAGCGGGAAGTTGCAGGGATGGCCCTTTAGGTGAACCGTTTTTCTAAATTTTTTTTGTCAGATCAGGCGAATCCCTCTAGATAATCGTCAGATTATGAGACAGTACGTTTAGAACATAAAGATGAACCACATATATCTTAATCTGACGCGCTTGAGTATTTCAAAATTGCGATTTTTTTTTGCAAATTATGAAAATGGCTGTGGGTTTGCGTCCCATCGAAATCGTCAGATTAGTGAATGAGAGCTTTTTTTGGTGCACTTAACACTCCCTTAGAAAATCTGACGCGCTCGATAAAATTATTTTTTTTTCATTTTCAACCCTTAAATACAACCACCCGCATCATGCAAACGATCAGATTAACATACGTACATTATTAAAAATACGTAGGGCATAGATGCTATCAATATCTGACGCGCTCGAGGATGTCCATGCAACAGTTTTTTTTTACATATTTAACTATCTATAGCCGCTTCCCCCACCGATGAAAAGGAATTTATCATATAACATTTTTTTCTTCTTATTATCTAAGCTTTGCATCCCAATAGGTCTCTACGACGCTCGAGTAAATCCCCATTTAGCATCGTGGGCTCCCCTACCATTAAGAGTAATAAGGTTCTCTTTCTCTCTTTCTTAAGGTTTTTATACTTTTCATTATTAATGTTCTAAGTATCTTATTAAAATTAATTAAGGCGACTTGTATCTCAATAAAATTAAAACGTCATTAATACGCGTGGAATAAACAAGTGAGAAATGACGACGCAATAGAATAAAAATGTGATCTTCTTTTTTTAATCGTGATTTCGTGTTCGAAATTTGAAATATGCACTAGCCGGTTTTCTTCTTTTGTTTCATCATGATTCGCATTCGAAATTTGAAATATGCACTAGCCAATTTAAAAAATAAACCATAGAGTGTGTTAACCATGTAACAATAAATTTTTTAACGAATATTCCATTTTTAAAATTTGTAAATGTTTTTATTGTTTTATTGTATTGTAAATTAATTAATTCGATTTGGTCGCAGTATTTCACAATAACATGTGAAAAGTTTTGTGGTTTTTAAATTGGAGTTTGAAAACAAAATTAATTTGGTCGTATTGGAAAAATTCCATAGTGATCTAAGGCTTTTTGAATATATTTATAGTTATATGACTTTATTATTACTTATTTATTTATTGAAGTTTAACACATCATACATAATGCTATATCTACATTATGTTAAAAGCTATCTAATATATAAAATTCTCGTGTCACAATGTTCGTTCCCATACTCCTCCGAAACGGCTCGACCGATTCTTATGAAATTTTTTTATGCATATTCAGTAAGTCTGAGAATCGGCTACTATCTAATTTTCAAACCCCTAAGTGATAAGGCGTGTCCACCCCAAATTTAATTTTTATTTTTAAGAAATTTTTTTTGATACAGCATACAAAAATACATTACAACCCCTAATTTTCACCCCTCTACGATCAACCCCTATTTTTTATTATAGTAGATAGTTATTTTTATTGAACTAAATGTTTCCTAATAATAATATACATGGCTTTTATAAAATCTATTATAATTTAGGAAAAAAGATAACAAAAAAATGGTAGTCATTTTTTGCTTATTGCGAAAAAAATACCAGCAAAACAGCTTAGGTATGAGTTGGGAACTTAACAATCCCTTCTTTAAAATTTTAAATTACTCACTACATGTTGGTTGTAACCTTATTACCTGATAAAATTATGAACAAAACAGACATATATTATGTCCGTTCCATATGGAGGATATTTATATTGTAACCTCAGTAAGTATGGGACACTTTTCTCTCTCTGCTTGGTTGATTATCGAAATTTATATGGCTTGGATATTAAATAAAAGGAAATACCAAAGGAAAAGAAAAATCATAAATTTTTAGCTCCGGTTATTTATACCACTCACAATATTGCTACGATGGATTTATATGAAGGATATTTGAGTTTATGGATTCTTAAAAAGGCAAAACCTTTTTACACGTGGAGGACCTCGCAATATATGTACTCAGGCAATCCAATAAATAAAGGCAAATAGTGGCCAACTACAGAAGATTTATAAAAAATATTTTTCGTTTGTACATATAATAAATTATAAGTGGAATTCGGACTAAATCTTTTTATGTGAATTGCCTTGCATAATACTTTGTTATTTTCAGGTCGGATAGTCTATATATATTTTTTTTAATGGCAATAATTAAATTAATATTAATTATTGCTATATACACAAATAGAGATTTAAATAAGAGAACACGATGTCATTTGTTTGAGAATGGCCACACCACGCAATATCATATACATAAGCTACGGGTTGTAAATTGTCAAAGTCGATTTGTCAGTAGGAAAAAGGTTAAAGGATCGATTGTTGAGTTCGACGGCGACTTCGCGGGACGTCCGCACTGTTGTGCAAATGATTATTGTTAAAACGATTTGACTGCGACATATATATAAAATACAATAAAATAAAATCACAAATTTTACACACATACACATCAATAATATTAGAAAATAGAAATTAAAAAGTTGATTGAACGATAAGTGCCCCGCCGCCATATTTGTTTGTTAATTCACAGCGCGATAACCAATCTCTTTTAAGGCTGACCGTTTAATAAGGAAATACTTCTTTTTAATATCCGAGATGGAAATGCATGACCAATACCCACTAAACCCACCTCGGGTAGTTCCTACAAGGCCGCTATAGAGAAGATCCAGGGTCACTCTCGCAATCTACCAAGCTATTAAGGAAACTAAAACTAGTATTTTATGTTATAAGGCACTAAAATGTATTACACTAAGGCCCACGTTTTTCTACAAAAAAGGGGACGTACTATAATCCGCAGGATTACTCCGTAACTTCAGTAGAGGTACCGACCCCATACCCACCAGCACAGGATATTAAAATTACTATGTGACGTCATTATTATTGAATTTGGAACTTAGAGTGTAGTAGAGTCGAGACGTAAGGATACATAAGTAAGTCACGAACATATTATGTTTGACTTCCGGGAGTGATAGTTCGCGACAAATATTGACTCTTTTCACAGCCAATCTTTATATTTTGTAACGAATAAACACTGGACCAATTTCAAATATTCTTACACAATGCTACGTTATTTCTCAGTAACGTAGGTATGCATTTCTAAAATTTAAAAATTATATCCAGACAGTAGTCAATAAACTCGTTTTTACAGAGTACTTCGACTTCAAATAACTATTAAATAGCGGTGCGCTGCGGTCGTTAGCACTGACAGTCAGTCTTTTAATTTACTACCCGGATATTTACGAGATTCTCTGATATATTGCCTTGAATTCCTTTTAAATGTTTTATCACGCCTGAAAGGCAAAGAAACTGTCTATGAATGTGCATTTTAACTACAACCTTCATGGTCTTATAAAAAAAACTTTCTACGTGAAACAAACACCCATATCTTTAGTGTATGTTTTTAAAAAAGTATTTATCACAGGCTTATTTGTTGACCACATTTACAGGATAAATATACGTTTTTTATCGCTAAGAGGTCAAAGCCTGTTTCAAGATTAAATTCTAACGATGGCTTGCTATTGCTCATAAAAACGTAAACGGACAAAAATTGTGAGAGCATGGTTATATTAATTTATGAATATACAAATCATGTGTCATCACGTGTCAGTTTTACTGGTTGACAGTGAATACATATCAAAGTCTAATTGACAATTACCTTTTTCTGACCAAAGGTGACAGCGGTTTCGCGCTTTATGCAGCAATGTCTAGCAGCAGTGACTGCTGCAGTGACGGATTGTGGAAGGGCAGTGTGTTATGTAAAGTAAGGGAACATGTTGAAGCCTAAACCTAGATGTAACCTGAACTAAGTGACACCTAAGAAAATAACACACAATTTCTCAAATCAAAAATAAGCTCATCATCGTTATGACCTTTTTATATAGAACTACACAAAAATAATTACATTAATATCTATCCTCAATCCTTATCTATAAAAATTCTGTAATATAAATATTATGTATACTTCATGAATTTGGTAAATATCTGACCTCCGAATTATTTTCTACGGCTATTTACTAGCGAACTGTGAACTTAATTTTTATATAATAGGGGGCTCACTTTTATTTTAAACCAAGTTCTTACACCTAATAACTAATTAAAAACGCCAAGAATATTTAATAGTAAGTAAACCAAATTGTTAGCATCATGCATCCTATTTATTGATATTAAAACTAAATGAAATTATTTTGATACCAAATACCACTTAAGACTTTGGAGTTCTATAGAAGTAATTTTAACCGTCTACGACTTGACATCTTATACTTAACTTAGGGTGAGATCTATAGTGCGCACTTAGACTTTGCTCTGACTTAACTATCGAGCTAAGACACAGTCGGTATTTATAGAGCAAACTGCGAATCTCTCCCTAGTGTTGGCTTAGCTTAATCTCAAGTCCACGAAATCGACGACTTACCAAAAACTTTGACTATAAGCCTAACAAAAATGATGGCCCAAAATTTGCTTTACCATCATATCTTTTACTGGACTTTTTATTTTTGTCGGTTTTTAATGAACGGTGTTGCCATTTTGTATCGGAGTTCCATAGACTTTGGGAAAAATAGAATTTGAATTCAAAGAAATTATAAATGATCTTGATAAATACCTATGAAATGCATGAAATAAAATAATTACACATTATTATGGTATTTATTGTTGTTTATTTATATTATTTATGTAATTGTTCAAACCCCATTTTTGAGAAATCTTAAAAATAACTGGTGTGATTTTGTATGTCACCTGGCAGCCCTGGCAATTGGCATATTATAGTGACAACGAAATTCAAACTATAACCTAACCAAAACATTGCGATCCGTTCTACGTAATAAAATTATTGTCATCTTTAAATAATTAATACATTTTCTAAAGGTTACTCGTGAATTTCTAGTTATTGCAATAATAAAATAAATGAATACATAAATAACAATAAATTGAAGATATATGTGTACCGTTTTAGATTTTTAAATATTTGTTATTGTTAACTTTTTTAAAGGATAATAAACAAAGTATTGCATGAAATGAAACATCAATTTGTATTTTGACATTTTCTGTCTTAGCTTGGGCTTAGCTTAATCTCACCGTTAAAATGTCTATAAATACGAAATCATAGTTTAACCTTAGTGTACACTAAGCAAAGTTTTTCGTAAGGTAAGTCTGAGCAAAGTCCAAGTGCGCACTATAGATCTCACCCTTAGTCTACGTGCCTGAACTAAATTCAAAGTATTAAAATATTTTCTTACTAAAAGTGTTATAAGTAAATTGATATAGCATAATAATAAAGTTGAGGAATGAGAAATGATAACCCAATATGTTTTTGTTTAACGAAAATCCATGCAGTTTTACTGTTAAAATGTGTTTTAACTCAAAAGTTTGTGTCTTATGTTTATAATGTTTAAATATATTGTTGGTAAATTATTAAACGTTAAGACTTAGGGTGAGATCTATAGTGCGCACTTAGACTTTGCTCTGACTTAACTATCGAGCTAAGACACAGTCGGTATTTATAGAGCAAACTGCGAATCTCTCCCTAGTGTTGGCTTAGCTTAATCTCAAGTCCACGAAATCGACGACTTACCAAAAACTTTGACTATAAGCCTAACAAAAATAATGGCCCAAAATTTGCTTTACCATCATATCTTTTACTGGACTTTTTATTTTTGTCGGTTTTTAATGAACGGTGTTGCCATTTTGTATCGGAGTTCCATAGACTTTGGGAAAAATAGAATTTGAATTCAAAGAAATTATAAATGATCTTGATAAATACCTATGAAATGCATGAAATAAAATAATTACACATTATTATGGTATTTATTGTTGTTTATTTATATTATTTATGTAATTGTTCAAACCCCATTTTTGAGAAATCTTAAAAATAACTGGTGTGATTTTGTATGTCACCTGGCAGCCCTGGCATATTATAGTGACAACGAAATTCAAACCATAACCTAACCGATGTCTCTCGCTTCACATCTGTTATTTTCGTTTCCCTGATCTTCTACCATTTATTACCTGACTACCCTAAAAAATTTGAGATAGGAGTGGAACATATGAAATTAAAAAATCTGTTAGAAATAGAATTTCTTCAACAAAAATATAAATTAGTATTAGAAATATGTATTACACTTAAAAAAAGAATCAGAAAATAAATGATTAAAATGAAACAAGTTTTGTTTTGATATTCTTTATTACCAAACAAATTACCTAGTTAAATTGTGCAATCACAGATTGCCGGAATGCTAGACCTGTAGGAGATCTTTCATTGTTTCTGTGTTACTCAACTTCTGCTGTCAGCAAGATCACCATCATCATAAGCATCGCCTCTCTGTATACCTATATTATGCAATACAGCACAAGCTATAATTATATATAACTAGTATTTGTCAATTTAGACTGTAGTCCTAGCTGTAAACATGGAAATTTCCTTTTTCACACTCTGAAAAACCTTTAAAAAATATGCCTAGTTCTTATTTGAGAATAATTATAAATATTGTCAGCTCTTGTCATTGGATTTAAAAGTGTTGTTAACATGAAGTTAAGTGCTGGATAACCGCTGTCACCTACTAAAACAGGCATTTTCTAAATATCCTGCTGTCGTGTGAACTGCCAGGCCACCTAGTCACTATAGCAAATATTTCCATATCAGGC